TTAGTAGATATTAAAACGCTAAAAATAAATAGTAATTAGAATAATTAAAATTATGTCAGAAAGGCTCTAATACTATAAGTAAAACTTATTATTAAACAAGATGAGTTTAATTAATAGTTTCTTTAGCTTAAGGTATTTTTAATTAAATAACTATACTAGTTAATAATAATCTAATAAATATAAATTATACTAGATACTAGAAGCTATCTAGATTATTAAATTTATTAAGATAACTCTAAAATATATAATACTACAAATATTTTAAGTTAGTTTAAAAGAAATAAAATTAAGTTTTATCTATATTCTTCTTATAACCTAGAATTAAACCTTATAGAAAATATTTAGAACTTATTTAAAGACTATTTAAATATAAGAAAAATAGATTTTTTAGGTATAAGACTTAATAAAGAGAGTATTAAAACGTTTAAATAAGTAATATTAGAAGAGTAGTAAGCTATTCTATAAGAGGTAATAGATAACTATATTTTATCTTTACCTAGCTATTGTAGATAAGTAATAAAAGTTAAAGGCTAGTATTCTAAGTATTAGTAGCTATAAATACTTAGTTATTAATAAAAAATAGTTTATATTAAAACAAGATTTCTCTTTTTTAATCTTTAAAAGAATAGCTTAAAACTCTAAATTTCTTATCTTTAGAGTCTACTTTATAACTTATCTTGATTTTAAAAAAAAAGATACTCTTAATAAAGAGATAATCTAACTTAAAGTTACTATTTTTTTATAGCTCTACTTAAGAGCTATTTTATATCTTAGCTATACTAACTAAGTAGGTACTAAGCTTATCTAAATATGATAAGAGCCTCTTAGGAAAAAATAAGCTAGCCTAATTAGGAATAGCTCTGATATTTACCTAGCTACACTAGTTTAATAACTAGAACTTTTAAGAATATATTATTTCTATGTCACCCCTCTGTATATAGAAAAACAATAGAAAGAAAGTTAAGTAATAGATAAGATTTTATATAGTGCTCTTAGGGATGTCTACGTATATACCTAAGATATAAAGTGATAGGTTTCTGTCTACGGCTATGTCACTCGCATATCTTCGCGTACATTTTTACTTCTAGCCTCTAATTCGGGAGGGATGTTAATGGCCACTATTCTGTATCTTTACATTGGCTTAACTCTCCATATCCATGATTTGACCACAGCTCATGTGTATGAACACCTAGCTGCTGCTTTTCGACTTGAGATACATCCATGTACAGCGTGATTCCGTTGAAAGGGCAGTCTTTTCCTCTAGTAGACTTCGTCGACCTGTGTATCAGCCATGCGATTACAGCAGCCGTGATTCCAAAGATTACTACGCCAACCCTAATGCCAGCTTGTGCCCTGTACTAAGACTCACTAATGAGATGTCTCCTTTTAAGACGGAGGATGAGGTAAGCGTCGAGGTTGATAGTATTGTGGCTGAGGAAGTGGGTGTCACTGACGAAAAGGGTGTCGCTGAGGGGAGAGTCGATGTCGGATCCACAGTTGCTGCGACTTGGAAAATGCTGCTATTATTATCGCGATAGGTCTTTTCCCTACAGCACTAATCTTTTATTCCATAGTTGTGAACGCCTGCACTGCCTCATTCGTTGGCGTACTATATCGTCCTATCAGCGACATACTAACATGTAACATTAGGAATCATACCTTTAGCTTGTTACAGAAATCTCCAAGACCGTACTGACTATTCTAAAGCGGGTCTGTACAGCCCTGTCTTAACTAAACTTACTTACCCTCGTTATTCTCATTATATACTATATAGTTCTAATAGAGACTATTTTCTATACAATCATCGTCTCTAATATTAATGTCTCTAGCACCACTATAGCTCGTTATACAGCATGCGGAATGTTTTATCGTATTATTTTATAGTTAGAAAGCTGTGTTGAGAAGGGCAGTCCCGTTACGGCTATAACAGTAGCTAGCTACACTAGCAATCTATAATATAATAAGAAGGAGAAGGTGTAATATTATAAACTTTAAGAAAGTTTAGCGGGGATTAAAGGAATCCTATACTATAATGTAGATTACATAGAGCAGACGGGTATGAAAGTGGCATATTTGTAGGATGCCTTCCTGGCTGAAAGTGGTCCTCAGCCTTGCACCTGGGGACTTGTCGAGAATCCTTCGCTAGCACAGATAACAAAATGTGCTTATGTAGGTATAAGTACGTAGTAGCAAGGCAGGATGAGTAGGTTGGCTAAGCTATCGTCGTTTCATGTAAGCACACGGAACATGGCGAACTATGTTTTTACATACTCGTGAGCCCATCACTAACAGAATGTATGCACCGGCTCCACCTGCTTCCCTGGAGTGCTGATTATACTACTACACAAAAGGGGCTGCCGCGCAGCAGGTGGTCCCAGTTTGCAATTCAGACCCAAGATCTTCGACTTACCTTTAGCTCAGTTAAAGAAAGCAGCGACTATCTTCAACATCAAGAAGAGCCGCATAGTTTTTGGTGTTGTCCCGACGAAAACAGTGCTCTGTCGCCTAAGCAATCACCCTATTATCTTCGTTGTTAAAGCCGACAAGCGGTATAGTTGTGGGCGCATAGATGTCTGCCAAGTATTCGTTGCGAGCAAAAGCAGCACATCAGAAAAATGAGAAAGCCGAGCGACGAGACACTTCTGGTGGATACCGACCTTGAGAAGAAGTTGTGTGGATGGGAGAGCTCAGGCAGCCGGACAGGTGTTTCGCGATCTGAACCTCAAAGTCAGAACGCTGGCTTTGCAAAGATTCCTCGAAGGTGCTACGGGTCGCATATCCTTGAACGAGAGCGCCGGAGGTGCCATTATACAGACTGTCAGCTGTGGAAACTCCTTAGCAATCTTCTACGATGGCTTAAAGCTGAGCCAGGCCGACCTTATCAAGGGCCTAGTTTCGATCGAACGCACTTTTGGAGACATACGATCAATGTCAGTTCCATATTGCCATTTCATGCTTCCTGTTACTTTCACGCACAGAAAGCTCGAAGATGCCATGGACCGACACATGACCAACCAGCGCCCCACTGCCACGTACCTTCCAGACCCGTTCAAGTATCTGGCTGAGATCAATGGAATATCGCCAGAGCAATTGAAAAAGCAGGTTCTCAACATTCGCTGTGTCGTTTTTGGAGTCGGGTTCTTCATGGCTTTGCCAGTGCTGCTCGCCGCAGACCCCCGGCAACGTCTGAGATGCCCAAAAATGAATCCAAGTCGAACTTACACCCCTCAAGGTTGTCTGGCCTGGGGCGGAAGCGCAATGTCAATCTGTCCGGTGGATGCACCAGGAGGCTATATGCCTATAGGAATGACAATGCCTGGTGTAGATATCTTTGGAACTAAGAGTGGCTTTACCAAAGAACAACCGTGGATTTTCCAGGACATGGATACGGTTGAGTTTTACGATGTTACCGAAGAAGAATACGATGCTGAGATGATGAGGTTTAAATCAGGAAGCTACAAATACAGGGTGCAAGAGAGCACCTTTGACTTGGCAGAACACAATGAGCTATTGAAGAGTACAGCTGACGAAGTAGCTTCACTGCTGAAAGTGCGCGGAAAACTTCAAGACGAGATGGCGATTAAGGAGAAGAAAATCTTGCAAGAGTGGCTGGAGAGCAAAGCTGCGGGCAACGAAATCCTGGACGACATAAATACTGACAGTAAGTTTATTTTAAGTTCAGCCTGAATCTATCCCACACAGTTCCCATCGTGTGTAGCTAGTACCAACAACATTAGATCCCAACCCCCACATCGTTGAGTCTCCCGTAAACGCCAACGTCTGGAAAGTTCCAGTAAAGGACAGAGATGTCATAAGAGCCGGACAGAAGCTAGCTATCCTCGAAGCTATGAAGATGGAGATTGATATATGTCTGGATGCCCACATAGAAAAGGCCACCGTACAGAAAGTGTTGACCCAACCCAGCGATACAGTAGTTAGTGAAAGACCTTTATTTGTTGTTTCGAAGTTTTAACAACGGTAGCTTGGACTTATTTGTATATTATTCACGCTTAGCCCTTGCTGTAAATGTCATATGAATTGTTTCATAGGCATGTGCGTTATCTCTATATTCATAAACATTTTGTTACCAAGGGAGTATAATGCATACGTCTTGTACTGGTCAGGCTAAGGCTATCAAGGCTGCAACTTCATGGCATGATTGAAAACGCATTGTTGCTACCTCACTAGCATCGTCCCGTCCTTATTGCAGTAGATAATATTGTAGGAATTAGCCATCACTACGACATGTCATAATTGTCTTGCGGTCAATTGGAAAGTTGTTGTTTTTACTGTACTCATGAGCATGATTTAAATCGCTTCTATCCTGGCACTGTATCTATTGTTTGGTCAAAAACAATGCAGTATCGTGGTAACGAATAGGAAACGTCGTGGAAGCGCATTGAACGTCTGCTTGTAGAGTAAACTCATCTTTGATCTGGATATCGTAATAACTATCAATTACTTTCTCGAAAGCCACTTTATTTCTAGATCAACTTCCTGAACATCACCATAAAAAGACGAGAAATAAGGGTATCTAATGAATTAAATATGTAACTTCTAAAACGACAGTAACTATAGACCAGACTTGGGCTACTCTTACTACGCATATACTTATACAGACCTAGAAATCCTTAAGTACTCCATCCTCTCGAAAAATTAATACGTACCCAACTCAAGAGAAGAGGATGACTTACCGATTACCACGACGTCCTGGCAATGGGGGTGGTATGAGCGGGTTGCCATAGGCGTCTGTGTTGAGGGCTGCGCGGCAGTCGGGACAGTACCATTTTGCACGGCGGGAAGGTATGTCATCTTCGGTCATGTTCATACAAGGAAGATGGAACCATTCCCTGTCACACTGCTGGTCGTTAGCTGAGATGCTGCGGCTCTGCAAAGGTAAGCTTACATTGTTATCGCACGAGATCATGGCTCCATAGCTGACATCATCACAGATACAGTATTTCGGCTCATCTGGATCAATGTCGTCTGCCACTTCGACCTCTTCTTCCGTCTTCCTCTTTCTTTTGTTTTTGCTACCTTGGGCGCGCTTGACATTGGTGACGGTCTTCTGGCCATTTTCAGCAGCAGTGACTTCCCCTTTTGGGGGCGGTTTTCTTCGCGAGCTAGTGCGGGTGGGTGCAGGAAGCGAGGGGTTTACTGTAAAAGAGGATGCAGGTTGGCTAAAGACACTATGACGACGGGTTTCGCGAGTGATCCTACCTTGTTCATTTGGTTTTGGTTCTTCGCTCTGGGCTTTGGGCGCGGGCAGATGTCCGCGGGCGGAACGGGGGCGCAAGGTCGGGGGCGCAGCAGCGTCTGTAGCAGACTCCGGTACTGGTGTAGGCGTCTTTGAAGTCGTCAGAAGCTGAGAAGCCTCGGGTGGGGTATGTACTTTTGGTACGAGCGATTCGCGACGAGACCTAGTCGAAGCTGCTGTTGTGGCGGCCAGAGCAGGAGCTGGCGCAGGGACAGATTCATGATCTGGAACTTGCGTGAGTGCTGGTACTGGGGACGGCGACGCTTCTGGCATAGCTAGAGACCTTTCAGATAGCGCTGGCGATGTCCCCAGAGGCGTCAATTCGGGACTCAGCTCAGGACTTAGCTCTCGTAGTGCAGCCCTATCAGCAGCTTTTGGGGTACTTGGACCGGCCGTTGCAGGTGGCACCTGTATAGCATTTCCATCGGTTGTAGCATTGGCAGACTCTATATGCTGTGCAGAAATATTTGCCAGCGGAGAATGAACAGCAGAGATGGAGAGATCTCGCGGTGTGGAAACAGTGGAGCCAGGAGTCGGTATCGGTGAGGAGGCAGCATTTGGTGCCGGGGCGATGAGCTGCAGTCGTGCGCGCTTTGATTCTGGTGGTTTTGTTGCGCTGTCTTGAGTGCCTACAGATGCTTCTCGCATGACTTCAATGGAGCCATCAGTAGCAAGGGGTGGAGATGCGTCACGTTTGCGTTTGGTGGCGAGTCTGGTTATTGACTTTCTCTTCTGGCTCGTAGGTGAGGTGACAGTGGAGTTGAAGTTTAATTCTTTAAGCCCGTCGGCAGCCTCTTTGATCTTTTCGGACGCGCCGATGAGCTCTTGAGCATCCTGCATGGCTTTTTGGCGTTGCGACGTGCGATCGAGTCTCTTTCCATCCTCGGACGTTACAGGCTTGAGGCGAATGCTTACGGGGCCAGTTTCATCTTTTGCTTCCTCCTCGGCAGGCTCGGTGGGCGCAGGTGGGTTGGCCGGCTGTGGAGCATGCGAAGAAAGGGTTCCCAGACCCGAGGCAGTCATGATCTGTTGCAATGTTTCAGGCTCCTCATCGAGGAAGGGTTCACCTGTGGCCTCACACCGAGCCTTTTCCCTTTCATAGTCGGCCTCTGTGCGGTGCTTTTTCTCGAGTTCGCGAATCATCATGGTCTGGCTGGGCGTCCACACGGCGTTCTTCTTCATTTGCTTGCGCAAGACAGCCATTTCGTACTCGGTCAGCTTCTTCCACGGCGCCCACTTGCTACCCGGCTTCGCGTCTGCTGGTGGAGGAGCAAGCTGTGCGAGGGCATTGCTGGTAGATATTCCGGCTATGGAGCTGTGTACGTTTGTGCCCAGCACACCCGCAGCACGCGCTCGACCGCCGGCTGGTCTCGAATGCCTATCCCTGTCCTGCTTGCGCCTTCGAGGGGATGCAACATGAATAGCCGATGCGTCGTCCGAGTCGCCCGAAGAGTCTGATGCATCTCGAGCCCGACCGCGGCCTCGCGCAGTAGTAGTCTTGCGGTGTCGATGGCGCTGGCGCGAGTTGCTGGCGCCATGGCGGCCGGCGTCAAAGTTGAGGCGCAGATGGGCAGGGCGTTCGTAGTTGCGGTATACGGGGCGGAGTGCACTGGGAGAGACGGGCGGGGGCGTGGGATCGCGCGAGGGAGGCTGGGGTTGGGCCTGGAGCTTCCGCTTGATAACCGACGAGCGCTGGCAATGGCGGACAGTGACCTCGTACAGACGCGAGGCCTCGGTGTAGGCAAACTCGCGCTGGTTGATGGCCTTTTGGAGGTGGTGGGCGATTTGCTTGCGCAGTAGCACGGGGTCAGGGCGGTCTTGTTCAGCCAGTGTGGGCAGGCGGCCATACTGGACCGTCAGCTCGTGCACCTGCTGGACGGCGTCGGCGTAGGTCGAGTCGAGGTCGGCGATGAGGGCCAGCGAGCGCACCAGGTCCGAGGGGAAGAATTCGGTGTAGTCGAGAAAGTCATTGACGGTTGTCTGGGCGTCTGGATTCGGGGCGGGTTGGGCCACGTCAGGCGCATCGTCGGCTTCAGACATGGCGCATGGCGGAGAGGTCGAGTGGTGGGAGGCTGGCGACGCACGCGTCAGACCTTGCAGCCACGCGTCAACTAAGTCGTTGGTGAGAACCAGGGCGATTGTGAGGGTGCGGGATGCGGGATGCGAGGAGCGATATGCGCGGGTCGTGATGGGCTGCCGTTGCTGACCTGGTCGCAAACGTTGGAGGCACTGGGGGTGTGAGTGTCTAGCCCGCTTTGGCCGCCGCCCGTGCAGATCCCTCTCACCACCGAACCCATGGGGCATGCTCCACCCCGCTCTGTCGTTCCGTCTCTCGACCGTATACATGGTGCTGTATACGTATTATTATCATTATATCCGTGTCTGTATGTCTAGCTATTTATACGTCCGGGGCCAGACTGCATCCAAAAGAAGCTTACTGCCAGCAATCCGTCACAGACACCGCTCTCTGCTCCGTCACCGCTGCACTCACCTGCGTACATACCTCACCACACCCGCCCCCTCCCGAACTCCGCTCTGGTACAACACCATATATGCAATGTCGCTAGGAGCCATCATGGCCACCTTCTCTTACCTCTACCCCTTGCCGTGTTTCCGCGATACACCAACATTTCCTCAAGAACCGTATCGTCGCATCCTGTCTATCTTTCGTGTACCTAACTACTGTGTACACTCGTCCCCTCCCTTGACCTGCTTGGCCCCTGTCTTTCTCTACAGCTACCTAGTTTTCTCCAACAAGGCTGACATGAGCCATCTTGTTTCGCACTGCCTTGTGCCTTTTTCTTTTCTGTTCTTTTCTTTTCCTTGTTCTGTCTTCTCCATAGCAAGAATAGGAAGCACTCTGCTCTTCCGCTCCTGAGCTAGTTTGTTAGCCTGGTGGTCCATGATGGTCGTTTGCCGTTTGCTCTTGCCCCATCCATCTGCCTAAGCGCAACGCCCACAACCAAACCCTCCCCCACCTTCCTTCGCAAGCAACCTTTCTCTGCTCATACATCACACAATGCTGTCTCTAGAGCGCCTCGAGAAGCTACGTGGGCTGATCAAGTCTGACGTCGATGCTCTACCCGACCGCCGCATCTCGCCAGATCGTATGTTTGACGACTCTGACTCCTCTGGCGGTGTGCCTCTCGAACCTCACCTTCTAGACATGCCTCTCCCCCAACAGTACACATCAGAGGAAACGGTTACATCTCTGGCGACTTCGGTTTCTGCCCCAACTGCTTCCTTGACGGAAAACTCTGCCCACCAATCCCTCTGGACGAACAACGCCTCAAGCTCGTTCAATCCCAGTCTTGACTCCATGCGCATCTCCGACCCTCCATCCCCTCCTCATACTCAATATCCTCCCACAAGCAGTCTTCAACGTGGAGAGCTAGCTTCAACACGTGACCATTTCACACCGATCCAAGCACTGGCCAAGTATCCCTACACGTACTGCAACAAGAGCCACATGCAAACCATTGCCTCTGCTTTTTTCGACCAGGGAAAATTCTGGAATCGAGTTTGGCATGTGTAAGTGGATTTGACAGCCATCACCTACATTCGCATGTTCACTGTCAGAAACATGCCCCATGAACAGTGGCCCCTGGTGAACGCTAGCATGAAACAAAGAGACCCCCTACCCCAACTTTCCTCTTTTGGCTTCTTTTATAGGCGACAAACATTGGCTGACTGTAATAGTTACTATGTCTGGCCCACCGACTCTTCCAAGCCTACCCTCCTCGTCCATGAGAACCAGGTGCAGGCTCTGCTCACTGAGATCAATCACCAGCTTCAACTTGACCTCCGCATTACCAATCACCAACGAGAGGAACGCCTGGTGACAAGCTTCCCTGACCATCCTCGGTGCTTACCAAGATATCTTGGGCGCTCACAATCACGCCAGGATATAGAAGATATGATCGCAATCGTACCGAATGAGACACATCGAGCCATCGGAGAACCCCCTTATCCAATTCTCCAGCCTGCCGAGTTGGAAACTTTCAACCAGTTAATGGAGGATATTGCACAAGTGCAGAAACAAAAGGGAAAGGCGAAGGCCAAGAGACAGCAAGACCGTTTAGCCAAGAACAAGATAATGGCGGGGCAGTTCAAGCGCGCGCAGAGGCATCTAGGGCTCCGTGAAGTCGAGCAAATACCCACATCAGCAGAATCTAGGTCATCTCCAGCTGTCGATCCATCTATACCTGCCCCATTCATGTTCGATCAGTCCGTAGTCTTCGTTTGTGTCGATGTTGAATCGTACGAGGGAGCTCATCACAAGATCACCGAAGTCGGAGTCGCTACACTGGATACACGAGACCTGCAAGGCGTCGCACCAGGCGAAAATGGAGAAGCATGGAGAGAGATGATTCGAGCTCGCCACTTTCGCATCAAAGAGTACAAGCACCTAGTAAACCACCTCTACGTCATAGGACACCCTGATGGCTTCCTGTTTGGCGAATCTACGTTTATCTCGCTCATTGAAGCCGCACAGAGTGTTGCGGCCTGTTTTCGAGCGCCATTCGGGGATATCGATACGCCGACTGAGCAGTCGAGTGAGAAGCGCAACATCGTTCTCCTTGGGCATGACACGCTGAGCGATATTCGCTATTTGCAGCAACTCGGTTATGACCCAGTAAAAGAGGAAAATATCCTTGAAGTCATGGACACGGCCACGATGTACCGCGTCTGGCACTGCGATCAACAGCCCACCAAGTTAGGCAACATACTGGGCGACTTCGACATTGTTGGATGGAAGCTTCATAATGCTGGCAATGACGCGGTATACACGCTACAAGCAATGCTGGGAATCTGCGTCCGTGAAGCTACGACTCGTGGCTCTCTGGGCTCCGAGGGGATGCTTGAGACTGACAAAGCTGCTGAGAATCCTACTGTTCGAGAAAGGGCTAACCAGGAGGCTCAAGCTGATGTGGCAGGCTGGAGCGAGCATCAAGCAGACGGTCATTGCAGTCCGCCAGTGCCGCATGCTGCCGATCTCACAACAGATACAATGCTGACACATTTCGAACAGGCGGCTGTGCCACAGTACGATGGCTCGTCTGAAACAGCAGCGTACGATGAATCATGGCACGGTCAGACGAAGGATGCAGGGTTGACTACGAAAGCGACTCATGCTCAAAAGCAAGGGCATTGGCAGGACCTCTTAGATGTATCGGCGAATATGGCCAGCTCTGAAAGCATTCCCAATGTAAGCCTGCAACCGCCCCACTGCTCTTTGTATCGGAGAATTACTAATGACTCAGCAGATGCAATACTATTGGTGAGTGAGTGGCATGATGGGAATTGTATCGGCAACGAGTCGGAGGATGCTAGCTATGGGCTCATGCGCACAGTGTACTTCTCTTTTCGGTTTTTAGGTGCGGCTAGGCATGCAAGTAATCGTGGCCCGCAATTGACATCGGAGCACTAGTGATTGCAGTCAGAATACCTTCATGGCTCCTAGTGGTATAGCAGACGTCGGCGAGTGACGTTAGCTGTGCATATGCAGCTCCCGACTTGTACCGTTATTAAATCTCGTTAGTGTTTGTGCCGTTTGAGTGTGCTACTAACCGCGTACGTGGTATAAGTTTGACGACGATCTGCCGGATGCGATTTAGCTAAGCGTGCCCTGTCACCGCTTTCTGCCCAAGCAGTTAGCTTCCTACTGCCGGGGTACGGCCGGGCTCAGTGTGAGACCAACGGTTCTTCCACCAGTCCATTATTAACCCAGCTCGTCCGCCATCGCAATGGCGGGAAGGCTGCTTTATCGTATTGCGTTTTCGCATTGGGCTCATCTCCCTCGACGTCCTGGTTTTGTCCCTATTTATTTTTTAATCCTATTTTGCCCCCTCGCGCAGCACTACCTGGACCTGTTATGACGACGTGCCGGACATAGCAGCCTCCGAAAAGCCCGTTTCCTTCCTGGATCACGAGACCCAGAGAGTCATACAGCCTTACGTACCATGCAGGACTCCATGTCGCCGAACCGTTCTTCAGGATCGCGCGGACCTTTTCCAGAAGACAATGGATTGGCAAGCAATGATCATGTCAATTGCGAAGAACAACCAAATGCATCAAGACCATCATCTTCTGCGAAAAAGAAGAGCAGTACAGCATGGTGGAAGACGAGCCTGTTCAGCGGCATGATCAAGGATGTCCGTCGACGAGCACCTTTCTACTGGAGTGACTGGAAAGACGCATGGGACTATCGAGTCGTACCCGCGACCGTCTACATGTACTTTGCCAACATCCTACCCGCACTCGCTTTTTCCCTCGACATGTTCGAAAAGACGAAGCAAAGCTTTGGCGTCAATGAAGTGCTACTCGCCTCTGTGTTGGGCTCGGTCGTCTTCTCGCTCGCAGCAGCACAGCCGCTCGTCATTGTAGGCGTTACGGGCCCGATTACCGTCTTCAACTATACCGTGTATGACATCATTGTACCGCGCGGCACAAACTACTTTGCCTTTATGGCGTGGATTGGGATTTGGTCGCTTATCTTTCACTGGATTCTGGCGGTTACCAATTCGTGCAATGGATTGCGATATGTTACGCGGTTTTCATGCGACATCTTTGGGTTCTATGTTGCGTTCATCTATTTACAGAAGGGGATTCAGGTCTTGACACGACAGTGGGCAGTCGATGATGCGTCGGCGTACCTGTCCATTGTGGTTGCGCTGCTGGTCACGGCCGTGGCGTACTTGTGTGGTGTAATTGGGCAATCATCGCTTCTGCAACGCCATGTAAGGAAGTTCATCGAGGACTACGGTACCCCCTTGACCGTGGTATTCTTCACGGGCTTCGTCCACGTTGGCAACATGTCAGGTATCGAGCTGCTCAAGCTACCCACCTCCAAAGCCTTCTTCCCTACGACCGATCGCGGATGGTTCATTCACTTCTGGGATATCAGTGTCGGCGACGTGTTCCTCGCTATCCCGTTTGCCATTCTCCTTACCATCCTCTTCTGGTTCGACCACAACGTCTCCAGCCTTATCGCACAGGGCACAGAATTCCCTCTCCGCAAGCCGGCAGGATTCCACTGGGACTTATTTCTCCTGGGTCTAACAACCGGTGTCGCCGGTCTCCTCGGTATTCCCTTCCCCAACGGCCTCATCCCCCAAGCCCCCTTCCACACAACCTCCCTCTGCGTAACCCGCACCCTTTCCGCCGGCGACCAAAGCGACGACGACGACGAAGCAAACAAAGGCCACACCCGCACCGTCGTCGACCACGTCGTCGAGCAACGCGTCTCAAACCTCGCCCAAGGCCTCCTCACCCTCGGCACCATGACCGGCCCTCTACTCATCGTCCTCCACCTCATCCCCCAAGCCGTCCTCGCCGGCCTCTTCTTCGTAATGGGCATCCAAGCCCTCGAAGCCAACGGCCTCACCCTCAAACTCCTCTTCCTCGCCCGCGACCGCCACCTCACCCCCAAATCCGAGCCGCTACTCCGCATCCAGCGCCGCTGGGTCATCTGGGCCTTTGTCGCCCTCGAACTCATTGGCTTCGGCGCCACTTTTGCCATAACCCAGACCATTGCCGCAATCGGCTTCCCCGTCTTCATCTTCCTCTACATTCCCATGCGCACCTGGCTCATGCCCCGCTTTCTCACGCCCGACGAGTTGGCCGTTTTGGATGCCCCCACCGCCAGTCCGTTTACCATGGAGAGCGTCGGCGGAAATCATGGTGAGGTGCTTGCTGAGATGCAGCCTGTGACTGCGTTACACCTGGGTGATGAGGCGGAGAGGGGGCAGAGCATGGCGAGTGGGGTTGGAGAAGCGGAAGGAGGAGGAGGGGGTAGGCGGAGGAGGAGTTTTCCTAATACGAGGGGTGAGGGGGTGGATGATATTGAGAAATCATAGGTTTTGTCCTATACGTAAATGGTAGCGTGTTTTTTTTTGGGGGGGGGGATTATCGGGGCGGATAGATGAATTGAAATGAGGGAGTTATATGGACAACGAGGAAAGAATGGAATTCTTTGTCTCCTCTTTTTTTTCTTTTTTCCAATTACTCAGAGTCTAGTGTTATCTTTAACAAATACATCTGTATCTTTGATGTCTGATTCTTATGAAAAACTGCGACTGTTACCTTAACATTGGTTTGCCGCCGATATCTACGCGACTGAGTATTATACGACAAAGTTTGCCTGTAGACTGGCCAGCAACGGATCCAAGTACTCTACGCCCATCGTTGACATGTTATGCAGAAAGAAAGAAGACTTGGTAATTTCATAATCATGACCGTATTTTATCACTGCTAGTAGTACAAGGAACCGACCACTATTATCTATTACCGAGCTGCCTGCAACGCTCCTTGCCAACACATAAGAAATGAGACAAATATGAAAAGAAGAAGACAAGATAATTTCAAAAAAAAGTCTCTCAAAAGGCTGTATAATTTGCATTTGAATCTGCTGCCTTTGGCTTTGACTTTTAGCTTCTTTTTAGCTATTAATGCAGCTGTGGAATTATATCTAACAAGAACCCCCCTTCCCCCCCAAAAAAGAAGACAAACAAAGAAGAAACGGTAGTAACAAAAAAAACAAACGAAAATTGATGAGAGCGGAGGTAGAAAAAGAAAAAAAGTCTAGTTACGCGACAAAAGGGAGAAAAAAAGACGAGGAGTTGGAGATGATGCATCAGAATGCATCGAGTAGGAAATACCGTGAGAGTATCAAGAAAAGAGTGAGAGAAAAATGCACAAAGGGAATGACATACCCATCCGTCCACGCCTCTTCCAAAACGCCTCCCTGACCACTTCTTAGTATGGTGCTTTACGCACACCCACCTCCTCAACATCCCCATCCTCGGCATCCGCATCATCAACACCAATGCTATCCAAGAAGCCCGAGAAATCCGGTTTGGAAGGGCCAAGGATGAGTTTGCCTGCGCTGCTCCTTCTCCTGTCTCCACTCCGGCTCCGGCTGGTTCCGCTCTTAACGCTTCGCGCCTGGTTCGCCATGCCGCCGTTTGACGTGGTGCGAGGCCGCGAAGCAAAGTCTCGGGAATGGATGCCACCATTGGCACTTGCCTTGAGGTCTTCTGGGATGGGAGGTACCGGAGGAAGGTTGTCCAGGGTATACGGTTGCTCACGAGGTTGTCCATTTGACTGCGTCGACGTGGCTGTCAGCGGGCGGGGTGTCGATGTCGCAGCGGGTGTGGCTGTGGAATCGGAGTTCTGAAGGTACTGGGAGTCTCCAGCTGGGTGTGTGGTGATGAAGGACGCATCGGAAAGTGAATGTACACTAATGAGCGATTCCGAGGTTGTCGATGCATGGTCAGAAGAGGATTTGCGGTGGCGCCGTGATGGAGCGCGAACTGAATAGCTTGTCCTGGGTGCTGCGCCGCTGGAGGTGGATAGAGCACGCCTGAGGTCGTCGACACGCACAGTCGAGCGCATAGATGAGGAACTGTTGGGTGTACCGCCAGGACTGCGGCTTCGGTTTGGCGAGGAGAGACGACCCGCCAGACCATAAGCGGCGGATGGGGGTCTGCTCTGCGCTCGCCTGGGACTGGGAGCAGGGGAGCTCGCATTGCTGTCAAGATTTCCGTGTGGAATGTTGACACCAAGAAAGTTGTTCTTAGTGTAGTGAGTCCCGGACTTGGACCCAGAGATAGATGCAGATGTAGAGTCTTTGCTGTGGCTAGCTAGACATTCGTCACGAGACCATTGCGACATTAGATCCTCCCGCACTTTGAATGACAATTCAGGGGTATCCCTAGGAGCCATTGGTTGTACTGGTTGGTGGATTGCTGGAATCGAGCCGTTTGCACCCCCTCCACGGCTGGGCGACCCTGGGGGCGAAGTGGGCGGAGAATGTAGGGAAGTCGAATAACCTTCCGATATCTTCTCAACTAGTGCCTCTAGATTGTCAAAGGGCCTGAGGGCCTCGTTCTGAACAATCTCTGGAGGCACTGCAATCGGTGTTGGGTGTGGCGTTTCAATCAAATCGATGGGCATAGGTGGGACATTGATGCTCTTCATCCATAGACCCTTCTGGTTCCTACGCGTAATCTCATTGTGCAACGCGCGTCCAACCGAAGACACCTCAAAGTCTAGGGCCGCACTAAGTGCCCAGAGGTAGCCATGCACCAGACTTCCTATGCGCAACTTGGCGCCAGGATCTTCTATGGTCGCGATATCCTCTTGTAGTCGCATGATCATTGGCAACCCGCTCCTTGCAGCGTTGACGCCTAACCGGTTGACTAAAGTGGTAAGAAGGAGGTGCAGAAGCAAGTAGTCGGCTTCCGAGTCAATAAATTGATGCGCGTTTTCATACACAGCCAGATGGAGTAGAGGCAGAAAGGTATCCTTGCCACGCTTAGATACCCTCTCCCTCGTAGAGGCGTTGGAAACCGCCCGTCTGGACAGTGAATTTTTGTCGTTGTCCTTCTCCTTCCGTCTGTAGTTGTCTACAATCTTCAGGTCTTCCTTGTCCTTCTCGGCATTCAGCCAAGTGACCAACGCGTCGACATACGCCTTTCTGACTCGGCCGCTGGGGTCACGCAGTAGCCACTGCGAGCCTTCCCACACACTGACGCCAACTTTGCTTCGCGACACCGAGGCTGGAGAACCGTCTGGTTTCTTCGCGTTCGCCCTCTTCAAGATGGCCTTGACGGCGTCGAGAGCCGTGATGCGTGCTGTCTCAAATGAGAAGAATCGGTCAACATGAGTCTTCTCTTGCATACTGATTGAATCCGCAACAGCCTCCACGGCGCCTTCAGGGTTCTGGATGGCTTCAGCAGTAGTAGAAATTGCCGAGAGACGTGAGGGCTTGAGGCGGCTCAGGATTGCTTCGACCATGTCTGAGATTTGGTCTGTATAGTACACGTGGGTTGCAAGATCTGCCATACATTTCTGTACAGTGTCTAAGAGTTGCAACCTTGCCCCCGAGGGCTTCTTCACAACTTCCATGACGACCCCGTCCACATTGTTTGTGGATGAGTTTTTACTTTCATCTTTTTCAGACATGATAGAAGTCGTCTGCTGATGGTGTGGCAAGATGTTCGATCCTGGCCCACCGAGCTGTAACAGTAACAGAGTGTGCGAGATGAACCCTACTAACACATCCATGACACTAAGGCCGATAAAGTTGATGGGCGAGGCAAGAAGATAGTCAATGACAGTGGCGAGCACTAGTTGTCGCTCGAGATCCTCCTCCACAATTGGGCTGCGGACCAGGGCTTCAACTGTCCCCACGAGAATCGTGTATCGGTCTTGCACAGGCACCCACACACAGATCATGGCCATGAGTGTCGTTGCCCAATGACTGCTTTCGCTAGGCGGGACCTCTGATTGACTCTTGACGTGTGTGCTTATAAAGTCGAGGACGGCGGATGTCGCGAGCCGAAGCTGACCGCGATTCACCCCTTGGAAGATGCTCCTTAGCGCCTGGAGCGCGAGCACGCCAACCTCCTCTTCAGCCAGTTTGTCCGCGTCTTCGGTTGTTCCAGATGCGGCGATTGGGTCTCCGTCTTCGTCGTCAGTTCGCGCTGTGGATACGCTCTGTCGCCGCCGTGTTGCGGTTTCCTTGTCGTGCTCGCCCTGGGCAGCTTCCCGGATCTCGAGCTTCTTGAGGTATGCGCCGGTTTCTGCGTGTATATTTGCGAGTATGACTGGTATGATGACGGCTAGCTGGCGGCCCGTCTCCGACCCCAGTGACTCGGACGAGGCCACGGCCTTGAGCGCCTGTAGGCCAACCTTTCGGTGCCTAATGGCAACAGGCCAGCTCACGGCGTCTTTGCCCGTCTTGACGGCATCTTTGGACGCAAACTGAGCATACAACTGAACAATCTCATCGTACTTCTTGATGTAGTCTTGGTCGGCAGCGAGGGCGGCGGGGTCTTGGTGGGCGCATAGTGCCTCGAAGGTCGGGACCGACTCCTCAATCATGGCCAGATTGTTCGAGGTGAGGATGGTGCGCAGGATTTGCAGGACAGGACCGGCGTAGAGGGGGAGGTCGCGCGGGCATTTCTCAATCACCGTCTTGACAATCTGCAACGTGACCTGGACATTGCCGGTGCGGACTTTCCACACATCCTTTGTGGCCTTCTTGTCGAGGAAGTCGACGACCTTCTGGAGCTTGCTGCGGCGTGTGCTTGCATAGTAGAGCAGGTAGCTCAATTCGCTCGAATTGGCCTTGGCGTCTGCATTGTTCTTCTGGACCTTGGGGTAGCACTTGAGGACCAGGACCTGGTGCTTTGGGCGGCACGCCTGACGTGCGGCGTTCATTGAGCCTCAGGCGCACAAGGGCGAGGTTGCGGGCTCGAGGCGACGTGTTGGGAGTGCAGCGACAGAGGCACGGAACACGGCGGCGGTGGCGGTGGTGGTGATGATGATGATGACGACGGAGGACGGACAACGGAGGACGGAGGTCGCGGGGAGGGGCGGCTGTTAGGGATATTGGGCCTCGCTCGACTGGCTGGCGCGCGTAAGGGGAGTGAGGTCTAGGGCGAGAGCATTGTCTGACACAAGACAGGACACAAGACAGGACGAGACTCGTAGGGGGGTCACTGGTGGGCATCCATCTGAAGCACTGCACACTGCACACTGCACACGGGCGCAAAGGGAGACGAGGGTGTCGGGGACTTAGTTTGGTGCGAGTAATCCAGGGCCTGGCCTGGGTTGTGGCTCGGGATGCGCCCCGGCCGTTTCTGTTTTTGTTTCCCTGGCCGAAGCTCCCTAGTCAGCCCTAACCACGGTGCCAAGCACATGTGCCATTGCTGAAACCCTTTCTTGTTGTACACGTATCTCGCTATACATCTGTCGAGCCACCACGTCGCCAGTCTTATCTATACAATACAATACACTGCACGCCTAGCCCCGCCGCCCACTTCACCGCCTGCTGCCTCGTCCCAGCCATCGATGCTTGGGCTCCGGCGGCGACTTGTCATTGTGCCTGGGCCTGTACCTGGGCTTGAACTCATCCTCATCCTCATCCACATCCTCCTCCTCCTCCTCCTCCTCCACTGCCCCCTTGTCCTCTGCTCCCTGTGTCTTGTCTTCATCGGGCTGCAGGAACCTAGACGTCTCCGCGTCCTTGGCCAGATGCTTCTTCTCCTCCGCCCCATATGTGACACTTCCACCCTGGCCATATTTCGCCTTTGCCTTTGATTTCGGCATGCCCGTGGTGGGCGAATAATTCTCGTTTCCACTCTCGGCCAATTGAAGCCGCATTCGCTGTGGCAGCATCTCTTGCTGTCCCTGCCTGATTGATCTTATCACGCCTTTCTGAACCTTCACAAATCGCTTGTTAAGGTCTTGGGTGCTAACAGCCGTTGGTTTGGCCATGACCCACTGGCACACTCGCCCATCGCTGACTGGGTTGATGAGAAATATGGTTCCTTCGGGCATCCCTTTTAGAATAAAATCCGGTCGCAGGTGTGGGAAGTGGGTGTGCATCCACGGCCAGAAGGCCGGATTGCCAGGCATGAGTCGTTGTTCTTTGGCTACACTGCCCTGCAATCGAATACGAACCTCGACAGGCGAGCCCGAATCGACGAACTGATAGGCCCGGTCCATGCTCAGCCGGAAATGCGAAATCGGACTCGACTCATTGAAAATAATGTTCTTCAGTCCTCCCAGTTGTCGTCCTTTCTGGGGACTGTTCAATGCAATCCGGTGCGAGCGCGCCTCCACAAACGAGAAGTTCTTGTATTCATCCAATATATGTTTCTTTTCCGCGTCGGTCATGAACGTCTTCGCCATTCCCTTTTTCAATTGCTTCGTGCAGTAAATCATATGCCCTGGCTTGACATAATTATCGTATGCCTCTTGCAATGACACGTCCTTCGCTATCAGTGTATACTTGGAATGGTGCTTATCCGTCTCGAAGAGGTTGATGCGGTGCGACGATGCACTTGGAGGCTCTATCTCATACGATGAGAAAGTCAAGGATTTGTGCTGTCCCAGCAGTGTCTTGGATCTGGCCGTCTTGTAGAGGTTCATACCCCGACGCTGCGTTAGGCATTGCAGAGGAGCGCAACTGGGAGCCGGCCGTGAGCATTGTGGGCGATATAGCGCTCCGAGAGCGTGAACCGGAATGCGAATTGGCGGTAGAAGGATTGAGCGAAACTCGACGAGCGACGTGCGCGTTGCTGGACGCATCGTGTTTGCAACTGAAGATTGTGTAACTCAATCGCACGAAAATCGCTTTTCATGACTCGTGTTTCGCAAAGGTCACGTGCCTTATGACGTCGTGACGCGAACAATCACTATGTGCATTACCATACTACTGCTATATTTTCAAGTTGTGGAAAATATGTACAGACACGTATAGTACTAGAGTTTGCAAAGAGAACAATTTTATATTTCTCCATCAAGTAAACATGAACCTTGGACCTGTGGTACCAGGCTCGCCGCTTTTCCGACAGTGTATGTTTTGCACCGGAGAAAAGACATCATCCCAATCAATGCCCAGACTAAAAGTATCATACGGCTGGTCATCATATAACAGCGGCGTAAAGTCTACTATAGGCTCAGGTATATACTGCGCAGGTTCCTGGAGTGCCATCGGGACAAGAATATGGTCTTGGGAACCTAGTACCGGCGCTACTGGTATCGAATCACTCTGGAATGGTGGTGGACTAGGCGCAGATGCCGGCGTGGCCTGGTGAGAACTGCCTATAGAGCTGGCACTAGCACGTCGACCGGTGTCGAAGTCAGCAGTGTGAGGCGGATGAGACTGGTTTAGTAGATCCTCCTCGCAACGACGGATGATTTGAGCGACACGTTGTAGAAGTTGCTGCTCGACTGGACCGGACATCTGTTCAGCTTCCGAGTGCAGTTCCTCTTGCACCCGACGGAGCAGATCTCTGCGAAATCTTCGTGAGTCTTCACTTGGCGAGTCGCAGTCATAAACTACTTTCTTGTCAGTAAGGCAAGCGGAGATTTGGATAAAGGAGGTAGTAACGTACATGGGCTAGGAATGTCCGCAGTTGGCACATCCGGAAAAAGGATATGGTAAACATCCCTCCACTTATCCTCTTCTAGCCTCAGTCCAGTGGTACGCTTTCTCAGCGTCCAAATTGTTTCCCTATCAATGCCGTCAATTTGTTGGGGAGACGATCTCTTGCATTGCTGCAAGCGCACATGATTCAGTTGCTCCTTGTCTGACTTGAACTTTGCGTAGCAGATTGGACAGAATATTGGCTGAGCGTGTGACCGATACAGGTGCTCCTTCATCCTATGGACAGTTGTCCAACCAGGCCCGGGGCAGGTACGCCGGTTGCGGTATCGGTTCGGATCATGCTTGTAGAATGGACATGCGAACCGCGCGCCCATATCTGATTCATCTAGGGTTGTTATCGACCCCCGCCGCCTCTTATTTGGTCTGTCCTCGTCATCATCTTCTGGTGGTGGACTACCGTCCTGGCGAGTCTTTCTCTTTGATCCGGAGCTGGACGGTGTTTTGCGGCTTTGTCCTGTGGAAGCAGAGATTCCAGATTGAGAGCTCGGGGTGTTGTTTCCCGCACATTGCTTGTAAGCTGCGTGCCGTAGACTAATTTCAACCTTCCTAATGATCAAGTCGATGACCTTGAGAGTGGACTTGGGTTTTTGAGGGATGGAGGGCCCATTTCCATACTCGTCTTCATCGTCACTGACATCCGTGCTTGTGTACATGTCGCAGCTACTCGTTGAAGATATTGAAACAATAGACAGCGTCCTCTGCTCCGGCCGATTACGTGACGGGAGATTGTCGTTTACCCATCTCTCTATATCTTCATCTTGAGAAGGTATTTGGGTTTGCAGAATCTCCGCAGGTCCGTGGCCAGAGACAATCTCCAATTCGGGGGACCAAGGAAAGCTTCGCGGGATTTCGCGGTCCGAAATAGATGTTGCGGGCTGACTTGAGATTCCCCGGTCCGAGCTAGCCCTTGCATCATCACTCAAGATGGTCCCCCGTCCAAAGAGCTTTAAGGTATCGAAATTGAGGTATGACTGAAAGGTAATGGGTTTAGAGTTGAGCAGGACACTTGGCACGCGTGGAAATGTCGGGAGAAGCAAGTCTACTGCGCTGTTAGTGATCAGGGCTTTGGAAGATGTACAGACAAGGAGTGCGTACCCTGCTCTAACGCGGCTACTTCCAGAGGTGAGAGCGGGTCCGGATCACTGTTATAGCCAGAGTCTCGGGTTCTCGAAGAGGAAAGCGAGTCCCTCCTTTGGACATGCTTACTCATGCTCAGCTTGGGCAAGCTGGTGCGCGAGTTTGTGCACGACGGCATGGTCTCCATTGCGCGAAGATAGCGGTAGCGTTGAACGAGATTGCTCTGAGTTGCAAATTCGGACAGCCAGCATATATGAGAGGCGTCAGCTTGGTCAAGAAATTCATGACGGAATTGGCAATTGCCTAGACGGCTCTCATAAGCGTTTAGACCCCATTGCGCGAATGCGCAAACGTGGGATCAGCGTAGCGGACGCCTCCCGCCGACCCGTCATCAGCCGAACGCTAGGCGTGCACACTAATCAACCACGCATTGTCGACTCTGCCTCGGCTGCATGTACAGCGCAGAATGAGCAAGAAGGCGTTGGGTGGCTGTGTAGCATTGACGAGCAAGGTGCTTGTGATACTGGTGGATGACACCTGTTAGGCCACTCGAAGCGGGATTGGCGCCACGACTAGCAGCAAAAGGAACAGTCGTGGGGCTAGAACATGGCAAGGCAACCATTTGGGCTCGCCTTGTTCATCCAACTTTACACCGGAATAAATCACACCACCTGCAAAACTATCCCTGCGCAAGGACCATTCTTTTATGTCATCGGAGCTGGGCATACTCATGCTCGTTAACAGCAGTACTAGTGCTGTCAGGAAAAGAAGATGGACAGTACATGTGTAAAGGCAAGATTCCCTGATGTGCAGTCCTCCACAACGCCATACCCAAACCTAGTCTCGAATCACATGCCCACTGTCCCATAGCCAAACCTTCCATCAGAGAACCGAAACCGGCACCTCTATTCCCCTGTTCAAGGGTGTTCCGGATATCATCATCACTACCACCATCACGACCTCGCCACTACGTCTTCAACTGCTTCTTAAACAACGGCTTCCGATAATTCCCCAGTCCAGCCGTGCTCTCAAATCCTACAAAGGGCGAAGGATAGTCATTCTTCATGAGCCTCTCATCCTCAGACCAAATAGATACTCCCTTGCGTACAGCAGTCTCGTACAGCCTGCCATGCACGCAAGCACCATGTACATCCATCATCTCCATCTTCTCAAACATCTTGCTGTATATGAACTTAAGACGCATAACTTCATCTCTATGCCTGCAGTACTTGAAGCCGTAGTCACGCTGGAGGCTAGCTGGTGGATCCGTGTTCTCGGCATCGTGAACGAACTGCTTCAGACGCCATACCGTGGGGAGCTGCTCGGCTGGTGAGGCGAGGAAGGCTTCCAAGTGGGGGGAAAGGTCGCGGAAGTTTGCATATCCCTTTGTGTCGAATAGATTTACTAGATTACTCGTTTCTAGAGTGTGCCAGAGCTCACCGAAGCTTTCTGGATTGTCTGCTTCCTGGATGAGGGCGGCGTAGAGACCTGCAAGGTATCGCTCGTTTTCTTCAGTCGTAGTGCAGACAAAGCCAAAGGAGTACCAAGCGCTTTCGTGCTTTGGAAGCAGTTTGCCACGTGAAACGGTTTCGATGAGTAGGGCGACTTCCTTCTTAGTCCTAGGCAGGAGAGGCGACGACGGGGTTCGATCGTCATGTTGCTGTACAAGCATACCCTCGTCAACCTTGCGTGATTGCTTTTGAGTGTGAATTGCAGAAGACAGTGATCTGTTGCAAACAGTAACATTCTCCAAAGCCTGTGGCCTGCTGACAGCAGAGACAAGAGTACTATACGCTTCTCTAGGAAAGCCTAATTTACAGATGAGCATAAATAGCTCATTTGCAAACGAGGCATCCCCAATGAGATTGCTCAGGCGCTCTTGAAGATCCGTCTCCGCCATCATGCCAAATGCCTGCATAATCAGTTTATTTGTGTCTCTCATTGACTCAGTGTACGCCTGGACGTCGTGGAAGAGCTGGATGATTTGTTTACCGAGTGTGTGATCGAGCTTGTAGTGATTGCTGTCAATACCAAAGCCGAACATCTGAGTGACTAAGTCGGCAAGGGTGCTCTGGCGGGCTCTGAAGTTGCGCTGAAGACGGTGGATGATAGCGTTCGTCTCATCGTATGAAAAGACTAGAAGCGTATCCCACAGGTTATCTATTAAGTTTTGAAGCGCAGAGCCTATCCGTGTTAGTAATGAGGCGAGCGGGTAGGGAGCAAAACGGCCGTACGTACCTATAGGGTGAGTTGCAATTGCTGCAAGTATGTTCTCAATTTCTTTGAGTTGCTGTTGTCCTACGATAGGTGTGTATGGCTTTCGCGGAAGATACCGGTCTCTGAGACGACCTAGGATAGCTGGGATCTCAGTGGGACTCATGTTCATAAAATCGCCTGTGAGACTTTTTGTCTTTACTGTATCGCAGTTGTCTTGTTTGAATCGATGTCGTGCCGCGATTCTATCCCCAATAGTTGTCTAGCCGAGTCGTGTAAGTACCACCCCGATATGTGCTGTTGACCAAGTTGTAGCGATCAGGTAAAGTAGTTTCTAGCAAACGAAAACACTTGTCGAAACCAATGCAACCGTTTCGAATCCTAGCCTATCAGTCAGTAAATGCCAGACCATCCAAACCCATCTTGCCGCATACTCACCGCCGGACTCGCAATCCCAGCCACCACTAATCAAACTCCCATCAACCAAACCGTACACACGTTCGGAATCTGATGTCGCGGTCAGGCAAGAAAGAGATCAGAGCTTTGCTGTGATCGAGTCGTTGCACTAAGTGTACGGAGGGAGGAGAGGGGAGAAACGACTCCAATTGCGCCCTGATATAGCAAGTAGACTGTAGCGCCAACGGCGGGACTAGCTAGCGCTGCTGCCTTCACTTTTGTTTGCATCCCGGTCTGCGCTATCACTCGGTGAGAGAGCGAGCGTGAGACGACGGGATTTGCTGGGAATCTCGTCGCTGCAAACGGGGTGACGGCGAGGGGCAAACGATCAGGAGTCGATTTCGGTCGAACCTAGAACAAGAATTTCAGTGAAAGGTTGGCGGTGAGTGTGGTAGCGGGAAGTAGAGAATAGTAGAGTTCGTTGAGCTCATGAGGAGTAAAAGAGCTATGCATGAAAATGAGTTTCTATTGCGAGATGCAGTAAGAAAAAGATATAGCATGATGCTGCGATAGTGACATGACACTTGGAAATGCGATACTGTTTTCTCTCGCTATTTGAGATATTCTCTATACATGCCGAAATGGGCAAAAGACATGTAAAACTTTCAATCGCAATATGATCATAAAACAGTGGAACACGATGTGCAGTCACCCGTGGACATTACTTCCTGCACTGCATATTTTCTTTTACATCCAAATGACACTACATCGCGGACATGTTTCCTACATCTGTCTCACCCACCAAACCCAAATACCTCCGCTGTACTCAACATACTCATCCTCGTACCCCAAAGCGCGATGGCAATGCTGACGAGATCCACGACAAGCAACACGGCAGCGCCGACCATGAATCTCGGGTTGAAGATGCGGTACAGCATCAAGTGTCTCCTAAGGTGGCCTGCCCACATGGTCGTTGCCAGATTGATTGTAGCGTAGAAGAGAATGTGGGTGGCCACAGCCTTCGCCACGACACTGAGCAAGCCCTTCTTCTGCGGCTTGACCTTCCACAAAACAAGGGCGGGGACGGCGACTGCGCACAGGATCTGAGCGCCAAAGGTGTTGAGAATGACAAGAATGGGTGTCCACGGGTAGCGAATCTTAGCAAGTGGGATAAAGGCCGATTCCCACTGGATGCTTGAGAGCGTGGCTTGGTGGCCTGTTTTGAAAAAGTGGAAAGATCCAAGGAGGCCTAGGACAACGGGGCCGATTGGGGACTGGCGCAAGTTGTTTGTATCCACGATCTCGAAAAGGGAGAAGAGCTGCCAGACTAAGATGCCAATGGCACCAGCTCCCATTGGCTTCTGGAGGAGGGCAATGGCAAGATACCAGATGGTAATGAGAAGGGCATAGCGTGAGCCCTCCACGTTTGCGAACCCGAGAACAGTGACCGCCTCTTTCGGTGCACCATTCGCATCCTTGCCTTCTTTGTCAATGATGACATTGAGGAGAGGCTTCGACCAGTTGTAAATCGAGTATCCAAACGCCATGCTGATTGCCAGCACAATTTGTGCCAGGAAGCGCTTCGTGATGCGGATGACGTTCATCCAGTCAGGTAGCCACTCGCCATCGTCCGCGGCATCTAGAGCCCAATAAGCTGCCGAAAGCATCAGCCCAAAGCGTAATGCCAATCCTATCCAAAGAGTTGCGTTGTGCTGGTAGCTCTTTGTGCCCTCGTAATAGCTTTTGATAAACGTAGGAATTAGAATAGCGACCGTGACAGGGATGAGAAGCTGCCATGGTGCAGAGGTAGTGGACAACGCAGAAGCATAGTATGTGGACTTGCAGTAAGGCATTTGCTCTTCTCTGCAAAGCCTTGAGAAACTGGCGACTCTTAGCAGGGCGGTAAAGAGAATCGAATGGTAGGCGCCCAATGTTCGGTCTGCAAGGCGCCTCTGACGGAGTGAGGAGATGAGTGCAAGAACGCCAAATGTCGTCAAGAAGTGGAGCAAGATTTCGTCTTCCCAGATCGTGAATGAGTTGGCTGCAAAGCCAGCAGAAAGTGCAAAGGTGAATACAACACTTGCCCATCCCCAGATGGTGTTGGGCATAAGAGGCATCATGCGGTAGCTAAGGGCATAGAATGTAGATGCGCAGCCAATGATTCCAGAGAGCGCAGAAGAGAGGACAACTACATGGGATCTTGCATCCTCGGGCATGAAGACGGTGATACCAACACCGACAATACCCCCCAAGGCGAGGCCAATGGCGCCCCGAGTGAAAAAGACGGGTGTAACCTCAGTGCGGTCTCCGTGGAGAATTCTAGCGTAGAGCGCGAGAACGATCAGACTAGACGCTAGGATCGTGACACCACTGATCATTCTTGGAATGTCGAACCTGGCCCAAAGGTCGCGGCAAAGACTGAGGGTGTCGTGTTGGTAAGCAAAGAAGGCGTCGTAGACTTGGCGCATTTGCGCACTGTTCGTCTTGGACTTTCCGAGGGAGTTCCATGCTTCATTTGCACTCGTCCACAGAGAGAGCGAGGTAGCTCTGGCACTATCAGGAATACCTCGCGCCTGTGCGTATTCATGCTGGTATTTGTGGATCTGTGCAGCGGTCATGCGGTTGACAGCTGCGAGGTTCGCGAAGTTGTCTCCTTTCTTTCCAATGAAAGCTTCCTCAATCGGCTTGCCAAGGTTGTTGAATGGTATCGGCATACCAAGCAAGAGCGAAAGAGTTGGAACGAGGTCAATCTGGCCGACCGGCCGGATATGAGCATTGCGTGGAGGAGTGACGTATGAAGGGTCGCTGCGTCCAAAGATACCTTTTTTGGAGTACATCCACAGAGCAGCCTGGATCTCATCATCCGACTCTCCTCCGTGATCTCCCTTTGCATCCATTCCGTGGTCACCCATGACTACCAAAAGCGTATCATCGTCAATCTCATTGATCATGCGACGAAAGACACTATCCATTTCATTCAGTTTTGCAGTCATAGCGGGGTGGTCAGGACCGTAACGATGTCCAGCATGGTCTACGCCCAGGTAGTGACCGAAGATGACATCCCACTTGCTTGCATTCTCAGCCTTTAGCAGCGGGAAGATGTGCTCGGTGACACCATTGTCTACTGTATGCAAATCCCAGACATTGAACGAATCGTACGCGTGCGTGAGATTTGGCTCAAAGTAGCCGGCGAAAAGTGCGTGCCACGTGTCGTCTCCAAGATGCACCAACCTCTTGCTCGCGTTCTTCAGCTGGCCAACAATGTTATCTTCGTGAATTGCCTGACCCGCAAAGTTGCTTCCCACATCAATAAAAGTTGGCAATGTGCCCGTTGTGAGCCCCTTTAATCTCTGCATCGTAGCCGTTGGCGGATCTGCGATGAAAGGAAGAAGAAAAGCATTTTCAGGCTGATTCATGGCCGTCTCGTATAGGACAGGAAACGCATTATGGAAGTGGCGTGGAGCAACTGGCGGTGCTTCAGAGGGGTTCGCAGCAGCAGCAGCCAGATTGGTAGGTTCGAATTGAGCCTCGAATGGCACGGTGAAATCATATCTGAGTGCATCGACAATGATCACAACCGCCTTTTCAAAGGTCTTGGGGTGCCAGCATCCCTTCTCTGGATTGCCCGTGATATACGAGTTTGCCACGTCGATAGGAGGCAATGCACATTCCGACTTGTGGTCGAGAACCAATCGCGTGAGGAGGAAACCGCTCGTGAATAGGTATATACCGAAAACGTGAAGTACACTAGCGCGCGTCAGATAAATTCGTAATACGCGCTCTCTCCAAGCCTCAGTGGAGCTGAATTGAACTGCACTTACAGCATGAAACAAAAGAAAGCCACGAGGATACCGTGCGAGGCCTTGAAGTGTACCTGACTAAGCTTTTTCACCTTGTCTGGATCATGCACCATAGTCCGCGGAGGCTGTGCCACTTGTTGCTGCTGCGGCTGCTGCTGCTGCTTTTGCGGTGCATGTTGTTGACCTTTTGGAGTGCTTTTCTGACCGGTGATCTCGGACAGCGGAGTAAACACCTCACGGTTCGCCATGGCGACGGAAGAGAGGAAGCCAATCGGCGAACACTAAATGCCAATCGAAATCTGAAAGAAGTTGAGATGGCTCAATGGGCCTCAAGGAGCGACAGAATCCATGAGAAGAAAGTTGTTGCGGAGTTTACGCGAGTGAGGGTCTGTTACGGACATGCTAGTAGAGTGGATCGTCGTAATGCCAAGCCTGCACCAATAATACGCACCTGCCATCGAGGTGCACGACCAACATGGCTGGCCGAGGATATGATACACTTTGACTTACTTTTCAGATATTTTGTTGAAGGAAGGGTTATCGAAGACGATACGAAACATGGCAATGGTAAATAGCGAGCACTGACGTCAATCAAAGGTCATTGATTGATTGTCCTGATGCTGCTTTGTCAGATCTCGAGGACATCACGGGACAGCAAAAGATGTTTTTTTTTATCGATAATGGCTTGTATTGGCTCTCATGCTGCTCGATGCAGTCGCTCGAGAGGAGTTAAGATAGCATACATTAATGAATAAGAGTTATATAAGAGGTGCAGAACCTCGTTGAAGAGATGGCCAAATCATGCAGGGGTATACAACTAGTTGGCCAGTCAACTCCGAGAATATACATGTGTAGTGCCACCGCCGTGCTGGCCATGCTTCAGAAAGGTTGGGCGAAGCTGGCATTCAGCGCGGTATAGCCGTCATCAAAGTCAAGTCGGTCATAGCCAAGTGGCTTTAGGGCCCGGGCTGCCAGACCTGTTCGAGGGCGATGGCCTGGTCGGGTAATTATCGTTTAGGGTTGGAGTCAAGATTATGAGTAGTACTTGTCGTCCTTCTCCTTCAGGCCGCCCATACGATCCAAGTCGAGTGAATCGAAGCGGTCTGATGCGTCCTGTTGGTAAGCTGGAAGGTCCTCGCGCAGAGGTTCGAGGCCAACGCTGTGGTCTCCAACACGAACGACAACGACGCGGCCAGAGTGCTGCTTGCCAGACTCGTCAACCTCATCGGGGAAGGTGATGCGAATCTCGGGCACTGGGCTGGTGGGGCTGTCCATGAGGGTCTGCTTTTCCGAGTAGGTGATGACAGACTCGCGGCCTTTGTATGGCATGGCGGTAATGGTCAAGTGGTTGATGTTTGATTGACGCTTCTCGTAGACGGGGAGTTCTGGGGTGGCTTGTTCCATTTTCCTTGCGCGACGGAGGCTCCGTAGGAAGAGCAGGCCTGTGATGCTTGCTACACCGAGCAAGGCCAACATGACGAGGGTGATGAGGAGCGTCAGGTGGGTGTCGCTGAGGCTGTCGTCCTCGTCGCGCTTGAATAGGTTGATGTTCATCATTGTGATTGGATTTGGTTTAGTTTTGTTTTGAGTTTAGTTTGTGTGGTCGTTAAGGCGTATCGATGGCGTGCAGAGTGCTCAGTGTGCGATGGCTGCGGTTAAAGAATGCAGTCGCTGGGTAAGGGTTAGCATCCATGGCCTTAGGGGTGGTGGTAATGTTGCTCGCGCAGTCGTGATGTCGTCGCTGTCTGGCTGGAGATGCTTGGCGAGACGCTGACGGATGACGAGCGGACAGTTTCGGATACGCACCTAAGAGAGCACCGGCGTTTCGCAGGTGAGTAGATAGGGAACGAGAGACACAAGTAGGAAAGAGCGTAAGTGCGAATACCGCTGAAAGAGTGAAGCGATGATTCGGCAGAGGGAAAAAAGGATTGAACAATGGGCAGTACCGTAGGAAAAGGTGGGCAAAGAGATCAAGGCAAGAGGGAGGCGACGTTATTTTGACGGCGCAGGGCAAGAAGCGCCTCGCAGTTTGCCAATGCAGGTACACAGAACGTCGACCGCTAGGCAGCCAATCACCCGCCTGCGCTAGAACGCGTCCCCCTACCGGACAGACCAAAAAGGCGAAGGAGCCGCGCGCTAGGCCCAGAAGAAGCATCGCAATAAAGACGTCTGCACCATGCCCATCCTCTCTGGCTCTTAATTTGGCACCATTATCAGAGCCAGTCGTTCGTCCCGCCGTGACCGCCAACAGAAAAAAAAAGGGGACCATGGCGTTTGGCTGCGCGCCTAACGATGCCGCACGCTTTGGGGTTGCATAAACCGAAGCCAGCCAGCCGTGGCTAGGAATGGGACACGAGGGGAGGGCCAGAGGCAAGCCGCAAGCAAGGAAGCAAGCAAGCAAGCAGACGACGGACAAACAGCGAGCGAGCGAGCATCAAACAGCAATAACAAACGAATCGCGTTATGGCCGGGAACATCTGGGCAGTGCAAGGAGCGGTAATACGCACAACGGGGGGGCCAGCGGCTAGGCGAGAGGTCTCGACTCTGCACGGTGGATCGTGAGTGGATCGCGAGGCCAGCACGTCCGCGCTGTGCTGTTCGGTTGAGGAGAGGTCCCCCAGACTATGTATCTTGGGACTGGCAGGCTGCATGTTGGGTTAAGCTCATTGGGACCGAGACGTTATGCGTTTGAGTCGGCAAATGACAAGAGCAACAGATCCAACGGCGCCGAGAGGCGGGACGCATTGCATTGTCAGTTGCTTGAGACGAACGTCTTGCGCGGGCTGTGGAGCGATACAGCATCACCCATGATCATAACACACGGCACAGCAACGCGCGTAAGTGAGTATGGAGCGAACAGCTCGACAAACGTCACAGCCGATGGAGTGCAAGGAGCGCCATGTGGTGATGGGACTAGAGCGACTTCATGGGCGTCTCCCCCTGGGCTCAACAAGCCGGGGCTGCTATAGCTGCTATAGGCCTTGCTAGGTGTATGCCTTGCCCTGTCTATTAGTTTTTTTTGGTTGTGGTGCCCGGGGCCGGCTTTTGCTCCACACTCGAGGTAAGTAGGTAAGGAGGATCAGGATTATAGCAGTTGGGGATTATCGGCAGCACGCGAGCGGTGGCCGGATTGCCCGGCATGGGCAGCAGCCGGGAGCGCGAGTAAACATTGCATGGGCGACTGCTTTGTTTGATGAGTCTTGCGGAAGCTTGATGCTTTTGCCCCCTTCTCGACGCCAAGTGCCTGCCTTTTTGGACATGCGACGCTTGCAGCTTGAGCTCCTGAGGCCGTCGCATCTTGGGGGACCAAAAGCAGACGCAGCACTTGGCTGGCAAGGCCATGAATAGCGCTGACAATGTGCAACACTGTTGGCGTAGACACGACACGATACGAAAAGACACTTTGCAAGGGCGCAGGGAAACCCAGGTGCGTACTGCCTAGGCGGCAGTTTGGAGCCAGCTAGAGGACAAAAAGTCGCGCATCCAAGTTGCCAGAATGACATTCACCGGCCCGAGTTAGGCTACGTAAGTAACCAAGTAGTGGCAACGCTCGGCCGGGGGGGGAGGCTGATTGTGCCACAGTGGCCGTGAGCAGTCAGGTACATAGATAGCAGCAGGAGCAGTATGTAGTGGCAATGGACAGCAAGCGGTGTGAGTGAATAAGTGAGTGAGTGAGTGAGTGTGTATGGGGGTGTGGGTGCGAGGCTTCTTTGAGACGAACGACCAAGTGCGACGGAAAAGGAAGTGCAGTGTGCGGGAGGGGCGGGGTTAGCAGCTTCTTTGTCACGTCCTAGGGTGGGTGCGCTGGAGGCATTGCCAGAGTGCCAGAGTGCCAGCACAGCACAAAGGCTCGCACAAGGTGGAGAGGCCCATGGGCTCAGTGGACGCCTTGGATGCAGCGTGCAGCCCTGCAGCGTTATATTGCAGGGAGCATCGTCAGCGGAGGACAATCCATGGACGGGGCAGGTCACGAGGCCGCAAAGACGCTGGCCGGGCTGGCGAGAGGGTACGTAGCGAGTGCGACGGTGGCTTGGGCTGGGACGATTGCGTTTGCAAACGTGTGTGCAAGGCAAGGGAGGGAGGGCGTGGGTGGGTGGATGGGTGGGTGGTGCCGGATGCAGCAGCTGTTGTGTGTGTACGTGTAAGAGAGGAGAGCAAGCAAGCAAGCAGGCAGGCAGGCAGGCTGAGGCTGAGCGAGTCTTTGGCGTGGTGCTTGTTTGCGGCTGGGGGGGAGGGGAATGGGCGGTGGTCTCTTACTACCATTTGCTAAGTACTGCTGGTGCTGCTGGTGCTACTACTACTACAAGGGCAAGTACATGCTCTGAGAAGACATGAGCGCGGGCACATGACAGCGCAGTGGTGAAACACGCTCGGGCTGGATATGATGCTCCACGACTCCTGTCCATGCGAGGGGAGTGTCTCAGGCTGCCAGACGGGGAGCGCGCAACACAAAAGATCGGCCGGATTGCGCTGCCGCATCGTCCCTGGCTCGGTCTTGGCACACACGAGCGCATTGCAAACCCAGAGTGACAGACACGACGCCTGCGCCCGCTACCGTCTTCTTCTAAGACGACGACGACGCCGCCGCCGCCGCCCCAGCGTTGTCTCTTCAAAGCCTTGCCTGCTTGCTTTGCCACTACCCTCACCACCACAACCACCACTGCCACCTCTGCCCTCTCTTCCCTCGGCCTGCAGTCCAATCCTGTCTGTCTGGCCCATTCTTAGCGTACCCCAGCGGACGCCAAACTTAGCTGCCGATCCCATCGTCGCCAGGGCCCAGCAGGTCGCATCTTCAGCAAAAAGACGTCTTCATCCACCCCCTCCACTCGTCTTCTGCCTCTCCCCCCCCCTCCCCGACGCCCACGTCTGTGCTACGACCAAACTCTCTCCCTCCGCGAACCGCACACAATCCCACACAACCGGCCCTGCCCGCCCCCGCTGCACATATAAGACCCAACACCGCCCGTCCTGGCCACCCTCCCGCCCTTGCATCCCCGCTACACTGGTTGTCGACCCTGATGCGTTCCCCGCCTGGCGCGCAACATCATTGCTTAGAATCGCCCATCTACTCTGGCTAGAAAGAAGCGACCAACACCACCACCAACACCACCACTGCCATTCGCCCCCCCCTACATCCACCCTCCCACTCCACCCAGAGTTCGCTTCCCCACGACCCACGGACGGCACCCCAGCTTACCCAACGACTACGCTCATATCACCACATACTTTTGATCTTCTTTTTTTTCCTACCACTACTACTACTACTACTACTGCTGCTACTGCTGCTACTGCTACTGCTGCTGCTCTCCTCTTCTTCGTCTTTACTGCTGCCACGACCTTGTACACACCTTCTTCACATACTTCTCATTGTGCCCTCCGCTGAGCGAGTCATAATACAAGCGTCGGTGCGCCCAAACTCTCAGCAACTGCCCTGCCTGTGCTGACGCCTGAGCCTTAGTTCGACCCTGACCCATCCACTCACACACACCCACCAACCACTCTGCGCAGCCTCCGCAATCCACTGCCCTAATAAACCCCGCCGCCCGCTGCTCGCATATATACACCGCACCACCTCGCCCCGCCAGTGTACATGAACTCCACGTCCAGCGACCTTAGTCGTAATATGGCCGCCATGACGGGCAATGTGGGTAGCTCCTTCCCCGCCACTCGCTCTGTCCACACTAATTCAATCCCCCAGACCCGATCGCGCGACTTTGGCAATGGCCTCTCGCTCAACGGCACAGACGCCGACCGCACATCACACTCATCCCCATGGGGTAACAGCATCTGGAATGCCCCGATTGGTGCTGGTGCCTTCCCCTTCGGCTCCGCGGGCAGAGACACCTCGCGCCCTCTAGGTATGCCACCGCAGACAAGCCATTGTGCAAACGCCCTTGACACCACTGACACATGTGCAGATAACGCTGCCCTCGCCAACGGCAAGACAGGCTCAGGCTCCCTCGTGGCCAACTCGGACACCGAGTGGAGGCCAAGCGCTAGGCAAGCCTGGAGCGAGAAGCCAGCCGGAAGCATGTCACAAGCCAGAAGCTCCGCTGTCTCGCCGGCAGGGAAGCGGCCAATTGCGCAGGCGCAGCCAGGCCAGCCCTATGCTGATAACACCTCGTCTGGTCTATTTGGTGCATCTCGAGGCTCCCTCTCCAAACCCATCAAGCCCTTTTCAGAAACTGCAAATGCAAACTTTGCCTCACGCCCAATTGACGGGCTTAATGCCAGCTTCACAAACTTTGGCTTTGCCCAGTCAGAGACAAACGCCCACCGCCCCGACACCGGCGTCACATCATGGCCTGACACTGCCTCAGTCCATTCGCCCAACGACGACCGCCGCAGCGTAGCTAATTCCGACCATGTCACATCGTCAAGCGGAGCTCCTTCGCGAAGCGGAAGCCTGCCACCCTCGCGACATGGCGCCGAACCAACCCAGTTCAACCAAACCATGGACGCTTTCTCGAGGCTCTCGCAAGCTCCGCGCCACGGCTCATCCTTTTCTCTTGCCAACGGTCGCACCTTCCAAGAACGAAGTGGCTCAATGCAGAGCGACTCATTCCAAGCACTCGGCAGAATCAACTACGAGCAAGAACCAGAGTCGCGCATGGCCTCACACAGGGCTTCTATGAGCACCACCAACATTCCTTCGGCCTTTGCGTCTGGAGAGGAGCTTGGCGAAACTTTCAACGGCCACACCTATCTGTCAAATACGGGTAGGGTGGATGCAGGGTCTTACACTCCGGAGACCTTCCCCAGCAGCCAACTCCGATCCCACCAGTTCGACAACAGCCGAAATGCCGTAAACAGCACCAGTGTTCGTCAGAGTCCCATGTACTCCCACAGCAGCACACCGCTTGTGTATGATCGTCTGAATCCCTACAGCAGCGAGCAAAACTTGGCCCACCCGAGCAATGTCGCCCAACTGCAGAATAAACTAGCTGGCTTCCAGCTGTCACAGCAGGGAAGGCGCAACTTCATCCCGCCAAACCAACTTCATCAGCAACAGTTCCAACACATGTTCTCCACCGCCCAGCTACAGAACCCTTTCCAGTACCAGTTTGCCATGTCCAATGGCATGCCTCTGTCTGCACTACCGCAGCACATGAACATGGCTCAGATGATGCCTAGCCAACAGCAGCCGCCCAGAGGACCCCGCGAACAAAACGCCGCCGATGCACTAGGCGCCATGAGCCCCGAGCTAGCGAATTTCAAGAGGGAGCAGAAGCAGAGCAAGCGATGGGAACTGACCGACATCAAAGGCCACGTGGTTGAATTTGCAGGAGATCAGCACGGCTCCCGGTTCATCCAGCAGAAGCTCGAAACCGCAAACAGCGAAGTCAAGGAAAGTGTCTTTAGGGAGCTCGAGGAGAACGCGCTTCAGCTCATGCAAGATGTCTTTGGCAACTATGTCATCCAAAAGTTCTTCGAGCACGGTGACCAGACTCAAAAGAAGATTCTTGTTGGTAAGATGAGGGGCCATGTCCTGGAGCTCGCCAATCAAATGTACGCCTGTCGCGTAGTCCAAAAGGTAAGTTTTCCTGATTGCAAGCATGAACAAAGACTAATGGGGTCTAGGCCTTGGAACACGCCCTCACCGAGCAACAAGCATCCATGGTCAAGGAGCTTGAAAAGGATGTGCTCAAAACTGTCAAGGACCAGAACGGCAATCACGTCATCCAAAAGGTTATTGACCGAGTCCCGATGCACCACATCCAAAAGATTGTTGAGGCTTTTAGGGGCAATGTCGGTGTCTTGTCGGTAAACTCGTATGGCTGCCGCGTCATCCAACGACTGCTCGAGAAGGTGGAGGAGCCCCAGCGCAGGTTCATACTTACTGAGCTTCACGCCGAGGGTCCAAAACTCATTACCGACCAATACGGAAACTACGTGACCCAACACGTCATCGAGCATGGCTTACCCGAGGACAGGGCCAAGATTGTTGCTTTGATCAAAGCACAGTTCTTGGTCTTTTCCAAGCACAAGTTTGCCAGCAACGTTGTTGAGAGATGTCTGATCTGCAGTGACGATGCCCAACGCCGCGAGCTTGTGTCTGTTGTCTTGTCTAAGAATGAGCGCGGTGAAAGCAATGTCATGAACTTGCTCAGGGATGGTTACGGCAACTATGTGATCCAGAAGCTTTTGGATACCCTTACTCGCGACGACTATGAGATGTTTGTTCAGTCACTCAAGCCAGAGCTTGAAAAGGCCAAGAAAGTTATTCCCGGAAAACAGTGCGTATCGGTAAGCTGAGCCCAACAATCTGACTGACTGATAGACGATTGGCTAACTCTTTCCAGGTTGAGAAGAAGATGAACCGCTACGATCGCATAGACTCACCCACCATGCCCACGCCTGCTCTCAGCAGCTCTACTCAGTCACCACTGAGCAGCACAAATCCAAGCACCAGTGCATCGACTGTTGATGAGCCTGTCCCCAACAGATCGTCTGACAGCAAGACCGGTGCAGCCGATACTACTGGCGGCGTTAAAATTGAGAACACCGGCTCTTAGAGTGGTTTCTGGTCGAGAAGCACCTCGTTTCGGAGCCTTTGTAAACAGTATTGACAGGACCTGTGAAGTTTCATCTTGTTCATTCTTTGCTTTTTCGCCATGGGCCGGCGTATCTGCATTCTATTGTTCATATACCATACTTGCTTTTCTTCTCTTTCCATTCGTTGTTACATATCCTTTTTCTTCTCTCTCCTCACGCCAGTCTCCCCTGTATTCTCTTTTTCTTGGTCTGGAGCCTGGGGAAAATGTCGTTCAAATGGGCATATGGCCGCCATGTCTTTTGTTTCTTTTCTTTCTTTCTTTCCATACACGTTTACATGTCACACAAGAACGAACTTCCTCGGAAGTTTTTGACGGGCCTGTTGGCTGATATGGGGGTTAACCCGATTGTCTCTTTCTTTTCCCTTAAAAAATGTCTCTATTTTTGATTCCTTGCTAGAAAAAGCTACCGTTTGGTTGCTGGATCACCATGGTATTGTTGTTACATGTAACGGCGCTATTGGCATGACGAGAGGGTATGTCAGGGTTTGAGAGATTGGTGCGAAATAACATCCTTTTTTTTCTGATCAACTGTTGTGGTTTCCACAGGTGATTGCTAATAAAGTAGAATCTAAAAAAAACATGAATTCGAATGCGTGTACTGTCCTCAAGCGAATCGGAGATTTTAACATCTTTTGTTTCCAATTCTCATGCATGTCTCATACATCCATGCTGTCCATCATTTTCCATCTTTCTTCCTTTCTTCCTTTCTTTTCTTGTTTTCTCCGCGTCCCAAAATACCTTTTTGTCGCATCTAAACATAGCACACCCACACACACTCTCACTCTCTCACTCTCACTCTCTTCCCCCCCCTCCCTCTCTCTCTTTTTTCCAAACGAAACAAGCCAATCATTTTGCTTATTTCTTCATTTCCCAAAGGAAGGGGAAGGGGGAGGGGGGAGGAGAGAGTGGGAGCAAACAAGCTATCTTAAGCATCGGCTAAAAAAGAAGCAATCTGCAAGACGTAGTAGATCTTTTATGCATTTCCTTTTTGTTCTTTTTCTTTTGTTTTTCTCCGACGGCTTGGGGGGGCAAGGGGGATTGATGGGTTCACTACCCTCCCCTCCCAACAGGGCGGTTCGGCGCGTGTGACAGGCAGGGGGGACAAGCCAGGCATAAAGTACAGTGTTAGAGGTTTGGTGGTGGTGGTGTGTTTTTATCTCACCCCGCATGCTCTCCGTGTTTCAGCGGGTTTGGGGAGGGGGCCAGGGGGGGTGATGGAGGGTAATTAATTTGGAGGGCTTGGTGGTGCTTGTGTTTGGGATGGTGGTGTGGGGGAAGGGACGGGTGGAGGGGTATAATTGAGAAGGGCGAGTTGCGGTGATGAGGAAGATGGCGAGTCTTCTTTTTTTTTGGAGTGGATTGGTCGTCGTATTACTGATTTTTTGAGTTGTAGGGATTCTAAGTAATCTTGGTACTATCTGCGTGTAGATCTACGTATTAAAATACATCGGTCAAGAGATTGATGGAAAACAGACAAAAGAGCCAGGCCATATCAATCATACAAGCCGAAGAACATGTCTCCGTTAGTTCGGGTCATACCCGACGCAACGTGCGATGCCCATGCCCCCGCGGACTGTAGAAATTGCCTTCCTTATAGAGAATGTGCTAACACTAAAAGGGCAAGTTGAACGATACTTGTACCATAATTGGTACAAAGACGTCATCGGAGAATGCAACAAGAGTCTGACCCCGGCCTAAACTATCGGGTATTGGAAAAAATCCACTGTACGGGCATTTATCTTGTCCATATATAAGCATGGTAGGGACACAGGTTATGTTCAACCCAGGAGTCAAGAGGCGACCCCGAGTACCTCGTAAACATGACTAGTGGAATCAGTTAGAGTTTGGATTTCAGGATCAGCGTCACAAGACAGACGCATGACCAAGACCAATCTGTAAAATTTCGTACTTTAGGTGGAGTCGCTAAACTCAGTCGGAGCGGTGCTCGTGTACCTTGGGTGCGCGAGTTTCCTACGCAAACCGAAGACGCAAGTTCAACAGGGTAGAGACCCGTTTTCGCCACTGTAGATATCCCCATGGTACGAAATACCTTCTAGACTCCACTGTTTTTTTTCTCTGCCAAAAAGCATGGACAAGCGTAAGCTAGAACATCAGGTGCGACTTGCCTTCCTAATGCGGTCTGAAAAGTTTCTTCGATACTGCGCCTCAGCGGGTGTTTAACTAAACATGGTGATTTGAACGGTCAATCGGTGGCACATGGTTTTCCTTTCGAGAAAATTTCTGTAATGGGCAGATGAAATAGGCAAAGCTACTGCACGTCAGACAGACACAGATTGCAGAGGACCAAGCCTCCACCAGCCAGCCGGGCCAGTCGGGGTCGCGGAGATTACGTCGTTGGCGGGGGCGGGGCAAGATGCAAGTCGGCAGCGCAGTCGGAGATGCTCATTGATAACGGCCATAGTTTCGCCGAACCACGCGCCACTGCGACTTTGCATGCTTCTTTTTTTCTTCTTTACTGTATGCCTCTTGTGAAATTCAACTTTCGAGCATCTTGCCATCCAGTCAAAACTCCAGTTGCCGCTGCGTCCGCCCATCAAGTCTCACCTGCAGCTGCTGTGACTCGGCCGACCGTGTCTTTTGCGCAACAGCGCCACTTCCGTACCTCGATCCTGAGGATGAATTCACACGGTCCTTCGGGTCATATGACTTCTTCAGGTGATGGCCTGAAGCTGAAGAACCGTCTGAATGAGAGCCGGAGTCCTTACGTCCGTGGCCACATGAATAATCCCGTCGCATGGCAAATATGGGGATCAGAGGCCATTGAACTCGCCAACAAGTCAAACAGGCTGATATTTATCAGCATAGGCTATGCGGCTTGCCATTGGTGTCATGTCATGGAACGTGAGTCCTTTGAGAACGATGAAGTTGCGAAGCTACTCAACGAGCACTTCATTCCCATAAAGATTGATCGCGAAGAGCGTCCGGACGTCGATCGCATATACATGAATTATGTTCAGGCTACAACAGGCTCTGGAGGCTGGCCTCTGAATGTCTTTATCACACCCAATCTCGAGCCCATATTCGGCGGCACCTACTGGCCTGGTCCGGGATCGACAATGGCTATGGGGGAACATATCGGTTTTGTTGGTATCTTGAAGAAGATTCGGGATGTGTGGAGGGACCAGCGACAACGGTGTCTTGAGTCGGCCAAGGAGATTACAGCACAACTACGTGACTTTGCTGAAGAGGGGAATATAAGTAGAAAAGACGGCGCGCCTCACGAGACTCTTGACCTGGAGTTACTGGATGAAGCATATGAAGCGAGTACCACTTGCGCAAGCAGTACGAAACCATTACTAACAATGCGCAGCATTTCAAGAAGAGATACGATCAAGCCCACGCAGGTTTCGGCGGTGCGCCAAAGTTTCCAACTCCCTCGAATCTCCACTTTCTCCTAAAACTATCGCAATATCCGAACCCGGTCAAGGAAGTTCTCGGAGCAAAGGACTGCACGCACGCAAAAGATATGGCTCTGGCAACATTATCTGCGATGAACAAGGGTGGCATACACGATCAGATTGGAAATGGATTTGCGCGCTACTCTGTAACAAAAGATTGGAGCTTGCCGCATTTTGAGAAGATGCTTTATGATCACTCACAGCTGCTGGCCGTATACCTCGACGCATACCTGATGACGAGGAGTCCGGAGCACCTCGGGGCTGTTCACGATATCGCAACATATCTCACGAGTCCGCCTATGCATGCCGAGAGCGGTGGTTTCTACTCATCCGAGGATGCCGATTCATTATACCGTCCAAACGACAAGGAAAAGCGAGAGGGTGCATTTTACGTTTGGACATTGAAGGAGTTTCAGGATATACTTGGCGAAAGAGATTCCGAGATTCTCGCACGGTATTACAATGTCAAGGACGAAGGCAACGTTGCTCCTGAGCATGACGCACATGACGAACTTATCAACCAGAACGTATTAGCCATTACCTCGACACCCGCAGATCTGGCCAAACAGTTTGGTCTTTCCGAAGACAAGGTTGAGAGGATCCTCACCGAGGGCCGACAGAAGCTTCTCGAGCACCGTAACAAGGAGCGCCCGCGGCCGGGCCTAGACGATAAGATTGTAGTATCTTGGAACGGTCTCGCTATTGGTGCTCTGGCGCGGACATCGGCTGCGTTGGCATCTCAAGACCCAGCACGTTCCAAAGAGTATCTCGCTGCAGCCGAGAAGGCGGCCGCTTTTCTTCAAAAACACCTCTACAACTCGGAAACCAAGACGCTGATACGTGTGTGGCGCGAAGGCCCCGGCGATGCACCTGGATTTGCCGATGACTACGCCTACCTCATTTCTGGCCTGATCGATCTGTACGAGGCTACATTCAATGACTCATACCTGCAGTGGGCCGACGACCTCCAGAAGACACAACTGAGAATGTTCTGGGACAAGCAGCATTTAGGTTTCTTCTCGACACCCGAGGACCAGAAGGACCTCATTATGCGACTCAAAGACGGCATGGACAATGCAGAGCCAGGCACCAACGGCGTCTCGGCCCAGAACCTCGATCGTCTCGGCGCCCTGCTCGAGGACAGCGAGTACACGCAGCGAGCGCGCGACACGGCCTCTGCGTTTGAGGCGGAAATTATGCAGCACCCATTCCTGTTTCCCAGCATGATGGACGCCGTGGTTGCGGGCAAACTCGGCATCAGACATGCCGTCATTACAGGCGACGGTCAGAAGGTCGACGAGTGGCTGAGGCGGTATCGTGAGCGGCCAACTGGTCTCGGGACTGTCAGTAGAGTAGGAAAAGGGACCGGCGAGTGGTTGAAGTCGAGAAATGCCCTAGTCCAGAGTATGGATGCTGCAAAAGAAGGTGTCATGCTGTGCGAGAACGGAGCCTGCAGAGATGCACTGACAATGGATATGTCGAGTTTAGAAGATGCCATGCCGGCGATATGACGTAGGAGGGAAGGGGGAGGGGAGGCCGGGGGGAGATATACCAACTGACGATTAATTGGCGTTTGTAAAATCATACGGGCGGAATATGTGGTTTGATTTACCTTGTTATATTCATAATGAATTAGACGTATATCTTGTGAGTGCCAGACTGTATATATACATATATGAATTATGCGGCTGAAGTGAGTGATTGAAACCCCTTACTTTGGTATATATGTGTAGTTGAAGAAAATATATATATAACTATATGTGTATCAATATTTGGATAATTTTAAATTCGTAGTGCCACGACAAAGAAAGAATAACCTAATACAATAACGAACATATACGTTGAAATGGTTAAATCCTCATATTCCTACTCCTCCTCCATTCATTCCCATTCCCCTTTCCTAATCGAAAAAAACAAACAAACATCATCATCCCTCTCCTCTCCCTTCTTCACAAGTAAATCAAGCAACGAAAAAGAGGGAGAAAAAAAGAAATAAATGGTCACTACGAGGGTCGAACTCGCGACCTTGGCGTATCACAGGATGCGCTTCCAAAGAAGTTTTCCTATTAGCACCACGCTCTAACCAACTGAGCTAAGCGACCTTGAGAGAGAAAGAATCAAACGCGAAGTTGTGATTCGTGGTTTGATGGAAGATTGGATGATTAAAAATAATATAATGGAAAGAAAAAAAAAGAAAATTGAGGGTTTGGGTGAGCGAAGGGAGGAATTGGGGGGTGGTGGGGCGGTGGGGTGGGTGAAAGGCGGGAAGCGGGGTTTGTGTGGGTTTAGGGTGGTTAAGTGGATGCTTGGTAATGTTTCTTGTTTTGAGTGATAGCGATGGGTATGATTTTTTGTGGTTTGTAGTAGGAGGATTGTTCCGGATTTAGGAGTTTTTTTTCCTTTTCTTGGGAGGATGATATAGTGTTTGAGTTTAAACTAAGTAGTATTGTAGAAATTAAACCTTGTGTGTTTGTCAGTCTTTGATATGTGCGAAGTGTAATCGTCATGGAAGTGAAAAGGTAACATGTCCATACGTGACTTTGGTACGAAAAGTGTTCAGCACTAAATCAACTTGCGATCCCCATTAACAATCTATACTTTGTTTTCACCCTCCTTACTGGCTGCCTTCTTCTCGTCGATAGCCATGCGCCATGACTTTCCATACAGCGCTGTGACATAGGTACCTGCTGCGCCGGCAACAAGAAATGCAGCGCTAATAGTCGAGAACCAGCCGACGCCAATGGCTCGAACAGCAGGCAAGCAGGCGGCAGATCCTGCGGCAGCAAACATGTACCGCATAAAGTAGTTGCCCGCTATCACATCGTTAATTCATGTCTCAGACAACAGATACCATGGTACTTACCAACAACCTCAGCACTCCGGCTCTGCATGACATCCAGACAATACGTATTCAGACTAGGAAAACAGAAAAGCTGGCCCACACCCTGCAGGAACATCATAATGACGGGCAGAGCGACCCCGCCGACACGCTTCTCAACACTCCATCCGTAGATGAGCATGCAGGCTGGCATCATGACACCCAGGAACAGTACGCAGCTACGCAACCGATCCTCCGAGACACGATGGCCGCGCTTGCGAATATACTTTTTGACTACACGATCGGCATAGCGACCACCGACAAAGGTGCCGACTAGGTACCCGCATCCAGGCGCGATGTAGAAGAGGCCAGACTGTAATGGCGTTTCGAGGTTGAAGCGTGGGTTCAAGACGTACCGGATGGGCGTGAGCAGCGAGTACATGTTCCAGACGAGCGCACTCGACGCCAATCCTGTAAGAAGGATATTCGGGTACCGATACAGCATGATGATGCGAAAGGGGTTGAGCCACTGCCACATTTTGACGGCTCGCTCTTTTCTCGGTAGCCCTTGGAGCTCGTCGGCACGTCGCTTGTGGATTGTCTCTGGCTGGAGGAAGAAGCACAACATGGTTGCTGTGCCAGCCAAAGCTGTCTGCAGCCAAAAGATGTCACGCCAGGTGCGGAATGTAACGATGATGCCGCCAAGAAAAGGGCCCAGTGCTGGTCCGATGAGCGTGCCGCTGAGGAACAAGCTCAGTGCTGTTGCGCGCTCAGTCTGTGGAGGTGTTAGTAGAGGTACATGACTGTAGTGACAATATTACCTGGCACAATGTCCAAGTCATACTGTACGTTATTATGAGTAAGAGCCAAGACTTACCGGCTTGTAGATATCGCCAATGACGGCGGACCCAATTACCAAAAACGCAGTGCCTTGGAAGGCAGTAAGGATTCGAAAGACAAAAAAGGCAGCAAGATTCGGTGCTAAAGCTGTGCCAATAGAAAAGGCAGTGAATAAGGTAGCACTTGTTACAGAGACCCATTTGCGGCCGTAGATGTTGCCATATGGCCCATAGAAGCACGGAGACAGGCCCATGAAGAGCATGTATAAGGCATTGGACACATTGATGATGGAGCCATCAGTGTTGAAAGTGGCAGCCACCTCAGGAACGGCAGACAAGACAGTGGTCGAAGAGATAGGAGCGAGAAAGCTGCAAAACGACACAACGGCAACGATGATTAGTTTTCGACGGTTGGAGAACTTGTTGTAGATGACGTCGTTGTCGCCAGTTGCAACATATTGGACATTGACCATGTCATGGTGACTGCTCGAGACTGTGCGTTGAAGCTGTAGTCGGTCTTGCTGGGGTTGTTGGGGTTGCTCAGGGACAATAGAGGCATATTGCGTCTGTTTCTCAGGTTCGGTGCCCGGATTGGCATGCTGAGGGCCAACGGGTACTGAGGAGGATGTGGAAGAGGGTGCCATTATGCGTACTCATAGAAGGCAAAAATTCGAAGACAAAAAATCAGTGTTTTCAGTGAATGAGTCGAAGAAGATTGAGTGATATCAGATAAAGGGAAGAATGCAAGCGTATCAAGAGCATTAATGTACGATTGGTTTGGGCTACAGATTGGGTTATGCTTGGGTTGCAGGACGCTAATGACGGGTCATATCCGCGGGTGGATACGCGCCGTTGTCCATAGAAAAGCTTTTCCGTGAAGAATCTTCGCTTCAAGGAGTCGATATATCCGAAAAGTGGATCATGGCCACAGGTACATCGGAACAAGAATGTCCGGTCGGAAACGTTGCCGGCGGTGTGAGTGCGTCTTGATGGCTCGATTCAAGACAGGCATTGTGTTCTAGGCTGTGGTCAGAGTAGATGCAATATATGTATACCAGGCAGTAGGCAGTGGCGATGAGCAAGAGCGGACTCGGGAATAGTGCAAGGGAGTATCTTGGCACAGGACCACTCACGTGGGTGCTCACGTGGACAATGCAAACAAAAAAAAGCCAAGGACTAGCAATACAGGGCAAAACGCTCAAATAAAGAGCTCAAATATGGGTGTATATAGGCCATATCAGCCGTAGCCATGGCAGTGGCCGTGGCCAAATGTGTACCCGAGAGTGTCGTGAAATGTCGAACCCGACCCGACCCTACAAAAGGGGTGCGTGTACAGTCCCAAACGCCGTCGATGCAGTTACGCCTTTTAAAACCAAGAGATGCGAACACACAGCAAATGTCATATGCTGAGCTTGTCCAGGCTCAAACGATCCGCGCTCTTGTGTCGCTTAACCATGCCAAGCTTGTAAAACTTCTCCTCGCCTGTTGCGGTGCGACCGCCAATATACCATTTTTCTGCACCCATGGCCTCATGGAAGCCGTCCGAAGAGCTATCTGAGCCTCTTCTGCTCCGTTGCGATGCGCCTGGTATGGGAAAGGCTTTTGCTTGGGGTGATGTGGAGCGGGTGTAGGGAGGGGCGTGCTGTCTGGTGGGCTGGAAGTGGCCGGTTCCCTGGACAGCAACGGTTGCGCCCGGCGAAGGGGATCGCGCCTTTGCGGTGATGGTGCGCGAGGCGGCTGCCGAGTCACGGGCCTGTTGTTGCTGTGCTGGGGTGTTCTGGGCGTAGGATGCGACAGAGGCAGCCTGCGAGGACACGGTCTTTTGGAGCGAGGGCTGCTGGGCACGGAAGGCAGCGAGGAAGCCCCCGAGAAAGGGCCTGTTGGTAGTCATGGAGCGATCGGGAGCGGGATGGTCTGGTGAGGGCCGGTGTGCGTCGTCGTGCATCAAGGCCCGGTGGCTCGTTTTGTGTTTTGTTGAGCAAAAGGCGCTGGGTGGGCTGAGGGCGGTGTGGACGGGCGTATTGGCGGGCCGAGGGGGGCAAAGGGCGACGTGTAACGGGCGTGGGGTGCAGGCGAGCAATGGGCAGTGATGTGATGGTGTTTATGGTGGAGTCTGGCGGAAACGTCGTGTCTACGCCATGCGCTCTCGTGGCAGAGGCCGCGACAGGCGATTAGCGGGCTATTACGGTATGGTGTGTACGAGACAGGGGCGGGCGGGAGCGCAAGCGTGTGACGTAGTTGCGGTTGCGGTTGCGGTTGCGGTTGCGGTTGCGGTTGCGGTTGCTGTTGAGGTGAGGCGAGGGTGAGGGTGAGGGTGAAGGAGGTGTTATTCGTGCTGCTGGTGCGGCTGACTGGCTGGCCATGCACTACGAGTGTGTGTTATATATATGTATGGGTATGCATGGAGGAATAGTAGCCGAGGTGCCAGTGGGTAGTGTGCAAGTAGTAGCTGATGGCCAGTGTGGGCGAGGCGGATAGCGGTTGTTTCGTGGACGGAGCCGCGAACCGTCGAACAGTCGATGGGCAAGAGCAAGGAACAAGTCGGAAGCAGAGGCTGGTCATTGGACTCTGACACGCTTGCTCGCTCGTACTCGGCCCAACCCCCCTCGTCCGCCTGTCCGCCTGTCCGTTCACGCTGGCGCAGGCCGGGGGTTGGTTGCCAGCAGACGATATTTTCCCTGCTCTGCCCTCTGCCCTCTGTCCTCGCCTTACCTACTCGCTCCATAGCGCCGACCAGACCCGCGTCACATGTGTCGCCCATCTGCTCTGCCCTCGGCCATGCACCCGCTGTTGGCAGGGCGCATGGCTGGCTGGGCGCAACACCACGTCGTCTGCAGCGTCATATGTCTGCGCTCGTATACACTACACATGGCAACATCAACATGGATGCATGCCCCTCGTCGAGCCCGCCCATCGACGTCCCCCCAAACGCGGGGTTGGCCCGGGAAACAGGCGGCGTCTGACTGGCCAGCCTCGAGCCTTGTGAAGATGCATGTCATGGCCCCGCCTTGCCTTGCCTTGACTCGCTCACCTCACGCCTGTCTGCTTATGGCTACGACTGGCGGATCCACCGTGGCCGCTAGCACATCGCCGCACAGCCATTAGCATCCTCTTGCTCTGCGCTTGAATCTTGTACTCGATACATCGACGCAGACGGTATGCCCCAGACCATATGCCCGGGTCCCCAATCGCCTCCAGCTTGCCAGTCATGGGCTCCACGGACAATGGGCACGGACCCCGGCGGATCCGCATTTGCCCTGACCTGACCAAGATCAAGATGCCCTTCACCAGCCGACGCAACCATCCTCTGCAATGGCATCCTTCTCCACTCTCCCCAATGAGCTGCTCGAGCAAATAGTCGCCCGTCTTTCACAGCACGACACGTCTTCGTTCTGCCGTCTCAACAGCCATCTCCATATACTCGCTACGCCATTCCTTTACCGCCATGTCGATCTCTTCGTGCCCCCCAGCAACAAGCTCCCAAGGATTGATTACTTTTGTCTGAACATCCTCCAGGACGCCAGAAAAGCCAGCAATGTCAGGTCGATCCGTCTGGGCGTCTCCTCTGGTGAAAGCGTTACCCAAGGCCAGCGACAGCTTCCTCACGACAGCTCCTTCGACCATGCCTACCTACTCCAAAAGGCCATGGACATTTGGACCAACGAGACCATGTTTCCCACCAATGCCCATCTGAAAGAGGCACTTGGTATGTGATTTTCGATAGCACATCTCTAGGAAGCTCTTGTGTCATGACTGAGACTTATTTGCGAGTACAAAAGAAAAACGTCAACATCTGCTCTTCTCATCCTAGCCGTGCTTTCTAACAACACCCTTTTCCTAGAAACACGCGAATATTCTGCGTATGCAGCACTCATCATCCTAATCCTCCCATCACTTCAACATCTACACGTAACCGACTGCAAGTCTACCACGTATGACTATCTTCAAGCTTTGCCCGACACTCTGGCTCCCGAATCATTAGGGACTCCGCGCTTTTTGGCTCAATCGCTTGTCCGCCGTCTGTCATCCATCACACATACATCTCTTGTTTTTGACCAAGCAAGAGGCATAGCGTACCGCGACCCAGATACTTACCTTTCCGCTGATCATTTTCTAAATCTCCCTAATATCCAATCCCTCGAGCTTTCAGTCCGAGGCGGATTGCGTCATCAATCCACACTCAGCACTAACGTTCCACTCATCCGGCGCATTAGACCGACTAATATTACCACATTGGTCTTCCGCCATTCGGGCGCTTTCATCGCAAGCACACGCTCTCTTTTTCAATGCATCCCTAGGCTACGCTCACTTACCTACGACTTCGTCTTCGACGGCAGGTCAATGCCAGATCCTGTCGTCAATCTAGCCGCCTGGTGTGATGTGTTACAAGCCTTTCAGTCCACGCTGGAGATTCTCGTCTTCAGTATAGAATATTGCGACAAACTCGTCTGGTTCTACTCCCAACCCCGTATCTCAATGGTGATGAATGGTCACCTTAATATGACGCACTTCCCCAAACTTGACACTCTGGAAGTCCCACTTCCCTTCTTGACTGGAGACCCCGAGTTTACCATGGAAACACCAGTCGCCCATCTACTCCCACCAAACCTGCGACATCTTACCCTACGCACCGATCTCTCGCATGCTCAGCATGCGCATCCTTTCGACACATCCATTCTGCAAGATGGCCTCTCGGTCAAATCGTCGCAGCGAATGGCAAACTATCTAATGTCAGCCCGAAGTGATGTTTCGGTCATTTACCAGACCTCCCTCACTCTACTCGAGCAGGCAACAACTCTTGAGTCGCTATCCATATGGCAGCCCGCCGATCCTTCCCTCGCTTGGCTTGACAGCCAAACTGAGGATTTTGCAACGACTTGTCGTAACACGAACATTTCCGGCAAAATCCTGATACCAATGCTGCTAAGGTGGAAGAATGCTGCGCATTGGGATCTGATGCAGGAAAAGACAGTTTTTGACAGAGAGGCTCCGGGACTCAGGCCTCAGACAAGATTCTGGAGGAAGGAGTGGGAGGGAAGACCATTGGGATTGGCAACCCAATATCTCTTGCATGCGTTGAGATTTCATCCGGTAAAACTCTAACCCTAGAGATCAATTCTCCACGTCGCCTCTACTTCAGCTAATGCCAGTTCTTGCGTTAACTATACAGTAATTTGTTCAGGAGTGGTGCAGTGGGAGAAAGGGAGAAATCAAGAAAGCTTCTTTGGCGCTAAAACCTCCAAACTCCTGTGTTGATTGGAAGTTCAGAAAAAGTTTGATTTCAATGTAGAAATAGTCTTCAAAATCTGAAATTACAATTCAATTTTTAGGGAGAGGAGCTTTTTCTCTTAATCTTACGAATTCCTTGATATTGTGGTAGAAAGATTTTGGTACTATCTGGAAGAAAATTCACTCCGCCACCCCTCCCTCCAATCAATAGTTACCGCACTCAACTCTCTGTTCTTTGTGACTGAATACGACAAACTCGGAGAGAAACGATATAATGTTGTGATAATGTCAGCTTGCACGTGCAGTCGCGTGTTCTTAGTGCGGACCGAAGCGCGTCATCCCGCCGCCGAGCTGACGCGGGCATTGCCTCGACTAAAAACTGACAACTACGTAAGTACGTATGCACCTGCAATGACAGATGTCTGGAGTGGAAATCTCTTGCTACCAGGAGGCCGCTCAATCAAAGGCATGATAAAGAAATTGCCTTCATGTTTCTACTCGTACTAACATTGCGCAGAAATCAGCTTTACGACGCAAAATGTCGCGTCGTCGCCAACCCTCGGCACCACCAGCCTACGCTTCCTAACCACCGTTGATACCGCAAAAATACCACTGTATCTTACCGCCGGCCCCAGTCTGGATGTATGGACAACCGACGAAATCACCCAAGATTGGTTCGAGTCTCTCTTGCTCAGCAAGCCTACAACATCCCCAAATGCATCTAACCATGATACAAATAAGTGGTGGAACCTCGCGCGCTCACAGTCTCCCATTGGGATACTAGCGCAAGTGCAAGATGTACCAGAAAGCGCTCAGAAACCCAGGATAACAGAAATCCTCTTCTATGGGACAATCGCTGCGCATGCCGCCGATGGGATACCAACACCGCCACCGTCTTTGTCAATTGTCGACAATGCAGGCGAACAGCTTCCAGAACTCAGGGTACACGCAACGCCGCTTTCGTCTGATATGCTACACTATGCTAGCATTGACCCGCCAATCGACAATGACGCTCATTTCCTCCCATCAATGCACAACGCCCACGCTGCATCCAAGTCTCCGAAGAAACACCGAGACATCTTTGAGGAGGCTACAATAGCGAACAAGAAGGCGAGAGGAAGGGGTGGAAGAGCAGTCTCGGCAGCGGCTGCTCGGGGAAGCGAGTCCCAGCTGCCCTACGCCCACCGCAAATCGTCATTGTCTATTGACAAAAGAGCCTCGCCATTCCCAGACTCGAGACCATCGTCTTCGTCTGGTCCGCTGCCGCACTCCAACTCTCGTCCGCTGTCTCGATCACCGAGCATCTCTTCAGACACAAGACCCTTGAGCCGCAAAGGTCCACCTGAAGCACATACGAGGCGATCCAACCTTTCCCAGGTCGCTACTGTACCCATCAAGCCGGAAGAGCCAACAACAGAGTCACGGAACAAGGATGCACTCGTCAAAGTGGTCATGGCAGCCATGCGCATGCATGGGCTGCAGCAGCGAAAGCAGAACAGGTCTCGTCGGGCATCGTTGGCTGCTGGCGAGGAAGGCGAGCGCTTGAATGAACAGACAACCCCAGAAGAGGCGGCCAAAGATGATGAATATAAGTTGATTTATCATCAGACCTACAAGGGTGCAGCACTTGCGCTGGTATGTTAGATATGATCTTTTTTTAGGCCTGGCAAATAACTGTTTACAGAGAAACCACATGTTGGAGAAACCATTGCATGTCCAGCCAGATCGGATGCGAGACGTTGTTGAAAAGCTATTGGTAATATTCTTGTCTGATCCGCTTGCGGAGCCACCGCCTGTGGATGTGCCCGCGGATCCAGTGGCTACTCCAGGAAGTAAATCAAGGATTGGCATTCCGGGATCCACACATGGCCACGCAAGTCCATTCGATCTCCCTAGCACGTCTCGACCGAGGATGATGAGGTCTGTCACCGACAGTCACGTCTTTACCGGGTCGCCCGTCAGTAAGAAGAGGCCCTCTACTAATCGGCCAGCGCCGACGTGACATAGCCAGCGACATGACAATTTTTGAATATCTGCTCAGTAATGTTCAAACTCACGGTGTGACATTGCGATGATACAATCATTTCGCATCAATATGTTGCCTGGACGCCTGGACCGGATGCGACCTAGTATCCTTCCCATTGTGGCATTTTGATGGCGCTTGTCATCATTCGTCAGCACCTTGCGACGATCGCCAGCCACCACGACAAACATGGTCGTTGTTAACATCAAACCCATTGTGGCTCCTAACATGATGTCACAAGAATTTGCGTGCTCTTCTGGTAAGGCGCCAGGAAGTGAGGCTAAATTTGTACCTTGCGGAGCGTGACACGACACAAGTGGAGGACAACTCGTACTGTTAGTAACATCAACATGTACAGCCTCGTATTCTACGTGACATCAGGGGACATGAGTTTTTGCCTTTGGGCGACAGAAATTGAGGCGAGAATAGAAACAATAATGATATAAAAGGCCAGCGGGCCGGTCTGTCAAGAAAATCACCATCAGAATACAACACTATCACTCAATAACTCAATACTTCATTCCAAAACACACACTCGCTACCTTTCAAGCAAACACCAATCAACCACTTCTCACCATGCTCTCCAAACTCACCTCCCTCGCCCTCCTCGCCGCCGCCACCGCCTCTGCAGCAGCCCTCCCCACCACCACACCATGGACCTGGCAAGTCACCTCCTTCAGCTCCGTCTGCACCGCCGCAACCTGCCGCTACTCCTTCAACGTATCCGCGCCCGCCGGTCCATCCGGCCAACCCGCTTTTGACGCCAACTTCTGCTCCGGCACCAGTGTGCAAGGCGGCTTCAAATCCTGTGCCGTCGTCGGCGTCGATGTCCCCGGTGATGTGCAGACGCAGGAGTTTAACCAGGGACGCGATATCGGTGCTATTATTAGTGTCGAGTATTCTTTTACGCAGTAAGTTTTTCATGTGTCGATTTTTTGGGGGGGTAGAGAGAGAGAGAGAAAGCTAATGAATAATAAGGGGTGAGGTTACGTATACGTATACGGGAAATAATTCTGTTGCTCATACGGAGTTGGGGCCTGCGGTTGATTTTACGATTATTCCGACTGAGGTTACGGCTGTGGCTTGAGTAAGTGATGGTGGTGAAGGTGGTGTTGCGTGTGCTATGCGCTCTGCTAGGACTTTGGTAGCTTGGGGGTTGTGAGAAAATTCGTGGTAATTGTTGTATTCCATCTGCATTCTCCTCTATACAATTAGAATTGTCGTTAATCAATAACTGATACACTGCGTCTTTCTTGCCGATGAAGCCCACATTTAGATTTTTCTGGTCTTGCTTCCTTTTTTTTCCTTTTGCCAGTGCGGTATGTTAAGTGGCAATGTGTACGCGGTAAGAGGAACATGAGAGGATATTTATTTTCCCAAGAAAAAACATTACATTCATAACAATGATATAAAGCGTACCCATCCAGCCAAACCAGAAAGCCACTGGTAACCATATAGAAGGGGGGGAATCCAAAACCATTAATTCATAACCCCAAACCACGCCGCCATCAAATTTACCCATCCATATCAAGTATACAACCACTTACTTAACCTCCTTGCCCACCGGCTCCCCAACCTCCGCCAACGTCGCAAACGGGTGCTGTTTCCTCTTAAACCCAATCTTGACCCTGCCCACCCTCGACATCTTATCCTCGAACTCTGTGCCGATGCGCAGCACAGTCTCGCGGTACATGGTCTCCGTCGTCCAGTCGTATGAGCATCCGATGATACGTTTCATGCCGCCTTCGGAACCGGCCATGAGGAAGCAGACGGGGGGGCGCTCGGCGGTGAAGAGGGTTGCTGTCATGTTGCCTGTGAAGTTGTTAGCTTTTGGGAAGGATGGAAGAGGAAGGGGGGGAAAGAACGAACCGGTATCTATGAGGGTGAAGACACGTTGGTCACCTGGGCCTGCGGACTTGGCTTTTTGGACGAGAGCGGCGACTTCGGGGTCCGAGGTTGGGTCGATGGGGGTGCATTCGTTTTTGGAATTGCGGTAGTGGCGGGAGAGGGGGCTTGCTGCTGCCTGTTTGTTATATCAGTTGTGTCCTCATTACTGTCATAGAAGACGAAGAGGAAGAAGGAAGAGGGGGAAAACTTACAGTCCACTTTAAGCGTCCCAACCTCCCACCAAAAATCTGCCGCTCAATTGTCTCGAGATCCATGTACCCCTCGAACCCAAAGAACCAGCACTGCTGGTCCCAGAACTTGCCGAGGTACAGGAGACGCAGCAGCCAGGGCGACAGCGCCATGAGGACCAGCGAGTAGACGAGGAGAATGATACCTGGTGTGCGGAGGGAAGGTATGGCAGTCAAGGTGATGGCAACGAGGAAGACGATACCACCTAGACGCAGGGCTATCTTTGCGATCCGCCGCTTCCATGCCTCGCGCCGGACGTACGCAACGGGCGTGAAGGATTTCCAGCGTACGTTTGCGGCGCGGCAGCCATCGAGGATGATGCTGTCGTCTTCGCCTACACCTGCGATACCGACGTCTTGGGGGAGGATATCCCAGAGCTTGGCGTTGTAGGCGTCGTCCATTGAGTGCCAGGGTTGATTTGGGTTCCTGGGTAAGACGCAGATGAGGCGTTCGAGGAGTTGTTCGCTTCCGTTTGCGAGGGAGAGACTGTGTGTTGTTGGGTTAGTAAGATGAGACAAGAAGTGTTCTATAAAGATTCAAGACGTACCGAGCGAAAGCCTGGAATGCAGAGTCTGTAGGGTCGATTTGGGGGCGCACACGGAGAAGACCCATTAAGGCATAGCTGTGGTCTCCAGGGAGGTACTGTGTAGTGTCTCTGTTGTGCAGGCACTCGAGAGCAAGTGTGACGAGCTCGAGTTGGCTCAGAATAAGGTTACCCTCGTAATGGTCGATGAGCTAAGTGGGTTAGCAAACGATAGCAAAGAGAGGTGATAGGTAGTTACTCATACCTGTCGGGCGACATGAGCGTCGTCCAGCCATACTTGAGCCGAAAACTGGTTCTTGGGTACCATGATGGGGTGGTCGAGATTGGTGCCACGCACGAAGACGCTGATATCTTGTCCTGCAGGCGCTAGCAGGACTTCTGGGAAGGTCCAGACTCTGCGGCCCCATTGCTGAAGCATGAGTTCTGGTGTGTTGATCTCGGATGAGTTGTTTGAAGGAGGGCCAACGGCAATAGCGAGGGACCGGGCTCCTCGGATTACATCACAAATACGGTAGACCTGTGGATGAAAATTAGTGAGGCTCCTTCAGCGTTAATCGCGCTATTCGCATACATCTTCTTGCAGCTGGTTGTCAGGCATGCAGGAGCAGCCAACCCAGTATGCAATCGCTCCGGCTCTACGAGCAGCAGCATCAGACATTTCGTGTAGAACTCTAAAGTCCTCAGGTGTGCTGAACTGCTCTGCCGTATATGCAATAAACACATAGGAAAGGTTGCGAGCTCCACCTTGCTCTGCAATCCTACTCAAGTTAGCGGCAGCCTTAAAAGTTGACGAACAAAGATTTACCAGTCATCGACCTTGGTGATCTTTGCAGGCCTCCCATCACGTAGGAAGCAAAGGTACCGTGGCTGTAGTATGCGCTCAGCAACGGGATGTGCCTGGCTCGGAACAATGCCATTTGGATTAGCCGTCTCAAGCATGTTCTTTGCGACCTTGGGATAGCCAAAGTACTTGTAATTAAGTGCGTCGTAGTTGCCTCCATTGCGACTAGCAGTCTCAGCGGGACTGGGACTAGAGATCTGCCGTTTTGTCAGAATGGTGTCGCTGATCAGTGGGCAAGAGAACATACGCAAATGGTGATGACGCACGCTGCGACAACCCACTTGAGGCCAAGCATCACGACATCATTGTGTGAGATGTGGCCACTGTTCGCCGCATAATCGATGTGGTCGAATGGCCAGTTTGCCAAGCGCATAAACATGGGCGCAACATTACGGATGAATGTACGCCGGTAAGTAGATCCGGTGTTGTTTTCGTAAATGTCGTCAACAGCTTGCACAACCAACTTCGAAACTTTGCCATCCCAGGAAGAAATGTAGCGATCATCGTAGTCACCTTCCCACTCTCGGTCCAAACAATCTCGATGCCTGTACTGACCAAGCTTTCGATAACCAAGACCTGGCTTGCGGTAGAAGTTTGGAAATCCCGCCTTTGCATTGGTAAACGGAGTGAAGATGTATCTATATCCCTTGAGCCTCAAGGGTCCACGGGGCTATATCTCATTAGAAACTGTAGACTTTATATCAGGGTTGACGAACCAGAATGAGAGATTGCCCTGGCTGTCTCTCCGGATCTGGCGCCTGGCCATTATTTGGGGTGTTGGAGGCATATGTCGTCTCGTACACCGAAGCCTGGACGTTTTGGTCATGCATTTTGAAAATTACCGAAAGCAATTACACAGCTGTGTGATAAAACCTGGCCGGGAATCTACTTGGTATTGTTGCTGATGTTGTTGTGGTGGTGGCGGCTGAAAATGCTGATACGGTTGTGGATCATACGCAGTAGTCGCCTGTTCAGATTCACGTCAGCTGTGGAGAGAAACGATTACACCTCAAACTCACTTGAGATGCGAATGTTGGTTGCGGCTGAGGTGGTGGTTGATTGTATACCAGTGGCACAGCAGATACAGTGACAGCGGGCTTATTTGGATCGTAGTTGCCTCCGCCGCAATGACTTGATTGATTCTAGCCAAATCAATCAGATTAATGGGTGCTTGGTACAAGAATCTGGATTGTACGAACAGGATAATAAGATTGCTGATAGGATTGTATGTGGACAAATGTACCGGTTTCAGGATCAACTCCTCCACCGTGTCGGCCAGCAAGGTTAGCAGAGTAGTCCTGCCTAGTGTCAGCGACCTGAGAAAGGGGGTCAAGGTAATTCAGGACTATTATACCATTCAATTAGAGCGCCTAATTGGAATGGGCGGTAGTCTCTGTCAGGCTGCTCGAGTCACCGGCGAGGCGCGAACGCAAGCGATCTTATCAACTTCGAGACTTGGGATCTAAAGCCATCCTGATCGGTTTGATGGGGCCAAGTTACACATGATCCTAAGTTTAGTGGATGTATACCACATTTGGAGTTCAGCTTGACATCATCCTGAATGATTGGCTGCGTTGGCGGCCCCATCGCCCCATTCCTGGCGAAGTGTGTGATGGCGTTAATGCATAGTCCACAAGAACCGGAACTTGCCAGACAAGGCTGAAAACACGTTATGTAAACGGATTTTGTGTACTACGCATATGAGCCATATCAGACCATACTATCTTCTCCGCCTGAAAGTTTCCAGGGATGGCGAAACTTTACAAGATGGCGCGCTTTCCTGGCCTTTCCTGCCCAGACACGTGTATATCTTCAGCAGACACATGTCAGTAGTTCAGCGAAAGTCGGGTGTTGCATTAATGGGCTCGCAGAATTTACTTTCTTGCACAATTTTGCCAGCCCCTGCACTCTATCAACACGAGGTGTGGGTGCAAGTGGGTATTGTACTACTACCCTTTACTCACTGGCCGGAGGACTTGTGACCGAACTTTGGTTATCATAGTATCAAGCCGTGCCAAGACAGCTTCAAGCAACGAGGCAGACACTGTTAGCCCAGATAGCAGGGTTGTATTCAGAAAAGGGACTACCATGCTGCACTCTACCAATCCGCGTGATTCGTGTTCTCGTGTGCACTGCCTTTTTGGGCAAAGATTGGCGAGGTCACTGCCAGCTGAATGCTTGGCAATCTCAGCCTGGCGCCACCAATTTTGTTTGGCGCTAGCATTACCATCTTCTGAAAGGCCTGGACATACTATTGCTTTTCCGTTCAGCTCCTGGATGAATGGTGAGTTGTGGTTTTGGCCCCCAAAGAGGCCGTCTGCAGGTGGGAGGGGGCTTGCTGCAGGCGATGGCTGCAGGGGCTTTGGATAGTCTCGTTTCCAGTTGTGCCACGGTTAGAGCCACGAGTAAAGTGTGACTAACCGGTCAGCTCACAAGTACTATCTCCGCCCTGAAGTCTCTGGACCATAATGGTATTACTTATTAGTTGGGTGTGTTCAGCCTCCCGTGCAAGCAGTAAAAGATGGCATCATTTCGGAGCTTGACTGCAGACCGTAGACCTTTTGACGAGTTCAAAACCAAGTCGCGAAATAGTGCGGAATCTAGGAAAGAAAAGTCATATGGAGTCGTGAATCTACATGTCTTTGAATGGTTAGACTCAGCTGTCCAGGGTAAGGAGATCGGTGGTATCCAGTCTATTGAAGCGCTCGAATCGCAGAGCAAAGGGGCCGTCCGGGTAATGTGAGTATCGTACATAGCAAGAGTCCCGATAATCATTGACTGAGATAGATTCGCACCCCCAGATAAACCCACTGGAAACTACGGCGAAAGTCTACTGGAGTTTCTTGAAGAATGGAGAATCCCCAGTGCGTTTGTCGACGAGGGTCTGCAAGGTGTCTCGCAGTCGTTCGCGGCTCGTGAAGATGTCGATGGAACAACGTTTGTGTGGTTCCACTTCTTGTGTAAAACTCTCGCAATAATTGACAAAAAGATCGTTCATCTCGGCGGTGAAGACGAAGACGCTAGTGGACTGAAGATGCGTCAAACGGCGCAAAGTCAACCTCAGGCAAATTTCTCCTGGATAAAACCGGGTTTCGTACTTAAAATCCGAGAGCAGAATGCCACAACTCCAAAGCCTGCGCGTACATTCAGCTCAAACAGCGATGATACCTTATCATCAACCACAGCTCCGCCTGTGGTCGAGTTGTTTTGTTTTGGAGTTCCAGCTTCATTTCAGAACCGCTTTCGTGCCTTGGTAAACATGGCAAAGTGTGAAGATCTGATCCGAGATCCATATACTTTGCTAGAGGTAGCATTCGAAGAAATGTACAAAGTCCTCGACTGGACAGGGTGGAACCTAGGAGACATTTTCGGAGAAATGGAGACGGTATGGCACCTGCTATGGCACAAAGATAGCTGCTAACACGTCATCAGCAAGCACTGGAAATGGCAAGAAATCCTGGAAAAGCAACAAAGGACTCGCTCAAGGACCATTTTACCGGCCTTCACAATCTCGCGAAGCATACTATTTACTTGCGCGAGAACTGTGAGGCTGCCCTGGCTACCCTCCAAGGTCTCTATGATCACCATGAGAGTGTGATCGGCAAAACCCCCAGCTTCCACCAAAAGTTCACCCGCCAGGCATTGGAATATCGCAGGACCCTTTTTGAGTCTACACAGCGACGGCTTACAAGTCTTGACGCACGCATCTCCAATATTATCCAGCTGTCCTTCAATGTAGTCACACAAGGTGACAGTAAAGTAATGCAGTCTGAAAATCAGAGCATGAAGACGATTGCTGTTACAACGCTTCTCTTCATGCCTCTGGGTACGGTCGCATCTATATTTGGCAGTCAGTTCATGCAGCTGCAGGAAGAGTACCCTCACCATATCACAGTATCGCAAGACTTTTGGCTCATGTGGGGTAAGTGCAAACAAGTGAACGATGCCTCAAGTGATGCTTATCTAACAAAACTCCAGTCATTGCAGTTCCCTTGACTATCATAGTCGTGATTGTCTGGAGAGTGTGGTACGTGGATGCGAGGGAGCATCTCGTAGATGGTATAGAGAAGGAAGAAGGAAAGGGCTATTTAGGGTGGAGGTCATTGTTTAGGAGGGTACGCAGGAAAGTTGCACCTGCCAAGATAGCCCCATAGCCAATGCCTGGCGGGGAGCTGAGAGAGCAACCCAATGTAACTGCCACGTTGATGGATGGCAGATGCAACGACTTGATTTCTCTGATCATAGAACAACAGGATTGAATATGGTACCGTACAAAGTATGTAGTTTAATACAGAGTAATACAACAAATGCAAAGCGACGCGCAGATGCGCTACAGCCAACTATGGGCGGTGTTCGTCACAAACGTCAACCGCCCAATACCGTCTAACCAACAATAATTAAGGCCAATCACTCATAACATGCCTTGGTCCATAGACATTCCAGTCCCCTGATGGTCTCGATGCCCAATATCTACCGCGCCACTAACTTGAACAAAGTCCTCCAGCTCTTCACTCGTGGTTTTGAGCTTCTCCTTGACAGCTGTAACTCCCTCGATGCCTACTATATGGCGCGCAGGAGGGTTGTCATGACCCCCGATCGCAGTCAATGCATGTACCGTTTCTGCGATCAAACTGCTTTTTACTGCTGCTGGCAATGGCGCGTACAGGCTCGTTACTGCATTAGAATTGAGTAAATCGCCCATTGTCGGTTCTGCATCCTGTCCAGCTTCGGACATGTTGCTGTCTTCGCCAGGAGATTTCGTTTCGTCAAAGTTGTGAGGGGGGTGAGCAGAAGGGTTTCCGATACGCTCTAGCTTGTCCAAGAGACCCGAGAAGATTTCCCGAGCCAAAGGCGCAGGATTTTCGCCTTGGAGGTACTCTGGCATAGGAGGGACGGATGTGATGCGGTTCGTGAGCACATTTACCTCCATGTTTGCTTGAACTAATGACATCTTGACATTGAAGGGAGCGATTTCGTAGGCAAGACTCTATGGGGCGATTTTCAGTAAAGTTAATGGCGCTATTTACTGTAAAATACTCACATCACAGTAGCCTTCAATGGCCCATTGAGATGAGCAGTACATTCCCAGGCCTGGCGTGCCCAGATGGCCGGCTGTTAATAGTCAGAATACGTCCAAGCTGAAACGATCCGTAAAGAGGACTTACTGATGCCAGTTATCACAATGAGATGGCCGTTCTTCCGTTCTCGCATGATAGGAAGTACGGCTTTGATGATATTAACGTTCGCAAAAAAGTTGATTTCGAAGATTTCATCAACCAGACTTATTGTTCGAGTGCTCTGGGCCAGCTCCTCAACTGTACCTATGACAGCTACCCTCGAGATTAGTGGTCAACCCACGTTTTCCCTCCACGCAAAGACGGCTTACCTTCGCTCGCGGCGCATAGCAGAACATCAATTCGCCCAAATGCTTCCACAGCCTCAGCAACCGCTGCCTGGCATTGGCCAATGACCCTTCATGCGAGGCGCAATCAGCACAATAACAGTCTTGACGCGGTTTGCGAATACTCACCTACTGTCCAATGCCACAACCCTCAGATGCTCACGCCATCTGTCGGTTTGCTTCACGTCTTGCAAAAACGTCCGAAAATCGTCTACTTGTCCCTCTCTTTTCTCAAACTCAACAGGCATCACGCCAGCCACGACATAGTCACCATGCTCCAGTACTTGTCTCGCTAATGCGATAGCGATTGGTGATACTCCTCTTGTGATAAACCAGACGCGGGGAGCGTTGTGTGGAGGAAAGTGTGGTGACTTGGGTCGTGGAGGCTTTGACGATGACGATGGCGCGTTACTTGTCATATCTGAATCAATAACTTTGAGGAATACTTCATGTCGCTAGTCGGCTGTAATGTCCATTTGTACCCCGGACGTCTGGGCAATGCGTTCGGCGTGGGAAAGTGGGGACGGCAGTGCAACTGCCTAACTCCATAAAAGGCCGGTACTAGTCTGGAAACGCACTAGCGCGCACGAAAATGACTTGGACTATTCACTGCACAACCCCACTATGACAACCGTCTGTCAGGATTCTGCAATGCTACTTCGGAAATCGACGACTCCTTCAGCGAACTGTAACATTTGCGACTCAACAGGCTTCAATCGCAGAGCGCGAATTTACCAGCTGGTCTTGGCAAACTTAAATTGATTCCGCACATCCGGCTACCTTCCCGATTCACTGCAGGTACGCTTTTTTTCTTGAGTCTCCCCGGGCTTCTTATCATGCCATAGTGCTCGGTATTTCCCAAAGAAACATATGACTCCGATATACCTCCCGGACCCTTGTCATCTCACGTACGATGACATTATCTCTTGTCATGTCAAATTATCAATTCTTACACTACAATAATGCTGAGAAACAACGAATTGCATCGTGTCAGCTAACAATGGTCAGGTCACAGTTGTTCAGAAGAAAACGGGTTCTCTTAACAATCATCCTCCAAGAACAGTACAGCGTCCACCTAGTTCCCTGAGCACCCTGACAAACTTGCCGGCAACACAACTTTCGTATAGGACCTCATCCAGTCTCTCGAAGAAATCCCAAACTTCCTTTCAGGTGCTCCAAACTTCAACATGAGTCGATCTGCATCCCTCGCGCAGTACCAGCGCCAATCAGTCCAGCTCATGTCTAGAGTTCTCAACGTCCGCGCCAATACCTCACCCTTTACACTCGTCCTCGATGACCTCAACCAGCGGGCACATCCTTTTCTAACCGAGATGATGCGACGAGCGTTATCTAGGAACATCAATGTTGTTGTCGTTGCTTTTGAATCATCACATTTCATATCAACTATCCGCACCGTCACCGGGTTTGGCGCCACTGGAGAGGAGGTTATGCATGGATTGCGCAAGGCTCTAAGCGGTACAAAAGAGAGTCTCGTCATCATCGACTCTCTATATGACGCGCTTAATGAGAAGGGCATCGATATGGGTAGGCTCTTCAATATGGTCGCTGGAGAGTTCGCATCCACCCTTGTCGGCGTCTATCATCAAGATATGCTACCTGGCCATAACGTGCGACCGGAGACCCCGTATGCCCCGCAGGCACTCGATCTGGTGACTTACATGGCGACTTCAGTCATCACCTGCAAATCTTTAGCTCACTGTCTCGCCGCCAAGGCAGCTAGGGAGCGCAGTTTGCCTGAGCCTACCCACGGTCTGCTCCAGGAAGCGGAAGGCGTCGTTCAATGCCTCGACGCCAACGATCGCCGTGGCATCGTCCTTGAGGCTGAATTCCGGCGCAAATCTGGCCGTCCTGAGGGAGAGACTTATTTCCTCCGGCCTGGCCGTCGCTCAGATTATCAAACTCCCGTCCGTGGTTCGCCTTTTGGTACACTAAAGCAAGAGTTTGTCGTTCTACTCGATCAGCTTCCTGCATACGCGAGCCAGGACACGAAAGGGTTTGCAAAGGCTGCTGAAAATGAAATGGAATCGACTTTCAACCTCGGCCTTACCGACAAGCAAAAGCAGGCGCGCGAAGGCATTGTCCTTCCTTACTTTGACGCTCAGAAGGGCGAGGGTGGTGAGGGTGGTCGTATTCTATATGACATGGGCTCTGAGGATGACTTTGATGAGGAGGAAGATGAAATTTGAGCAACTTGACCTTTTTTTGACTTTGAATGCCGCGGGTCATACGATTCATGAGAGCATCTTAGATACCCTGCATGGTATGGCGTTACGGAATAGAAGAGTGATACCACATGGCTGTCGACAATCGTTTGTTCGTCGTAGATGGGATTTTGTACATGAAAAATGTAAAATGTGGCTACCTGCCGATGTATTGCTGCTTTTTAGCAGTAACTGATCATTTGAGTTTAATAAGCAGTTAGCATTGGGCACCTCTTTGATATGTTGTTGACTCCCTTCCAGTTTTGGTTTGTTGGTCTCTTCTCTTCTTACTGGCTTTGGATGTGGCTTCCGACGATAACCACCGCTACTGCCCGGGTTGAGTCTGTAGCCTTTTCCCGCATTAGTGGTCCTACTGTTATGGTCTGTACAAAGGCTTCCTGCTGCTCGCAATCATTCATCTCTTCTTCGCATCATGATCCACTAATGCTTGAACTCATTTGATGCGATTCAGCCAGTAATTTGGAGGAGTATCATATCACGGAGGCTGGACTCCTCGGCAACCGGAAGGGGCTAGAAGTTGGACCGACTGTCTTTTGTTGTTTGGCATTCGCAAATTCGCATTAGCAGCTGTTCATCCTTGCTCGAGCCGAGCGATCATCTTATATCTGCTCGCTTCGTTCTGTCTCTATCTCAGTCCGTGTTGTATTTTTGCCATATAATAGCTTCACTGGTACTTCTATGCATTCTGTATGGTCTCCGTGTCTTGCAAAGGGCTTGAATCGACCCGTGTTCGATGCGCGAGTATATATGGCAAGGTTGAGGGGCTTGGAGGTTTCAGAGGTCTGGAGATTAGGCTGCCTAACTCTGCTCATTGTGTGTCAGTTAATAGCTTTGGAGTTGTGGCAGTGGAATGAGGAGTATACGCCGAGTACAATGCGATTCAGGCTCATCATCTATCTCGTCTATCATAAATATACTTGAAGATTCTCTTTCTGCCATAGCTTCTGAATGTGAGCCGTCGTTGCTCTTTTCTTCTCCGTCGCTTCCTCTTTCTTCTTCCTCGTCGCCCGCCGTCTAGGCATTTCTTGACATGATTTGTCGTTCGTGGCGAAGGCGACGAAGCGGTCTCTTCTTCCTGTGACTGGCTATCATCTTTGCCCTCGTTGCTTTCACAATGTCGCCTTCTGCCCCATCTTCTGCAATTGTGACTTGAACATCGTATCTCGACAGTCGTCTTGCCCTCGCCAGGACTCTTCTGATCATCGAGCGGTCCTCCTTGCTGACCACGGATTCGAGACTCTCGAGGCCGTGAGCTTGGTGATGTTCGATCAGTTCAACCACCGCCGGCAACCTACAAAGTACCGCAACACTCTGCACCTTGATGCCTGTGCCAGTGCATTTTCGCCTGATTGTACTGCGCGCTAGCCACATGGCAAGTATGAGCGCGAACATATGAGCTCTTTCGGGCGTTTTGATATTTTTGGCTCTGGCCTGGCTACGCTCGATGCCGTGTGCTTGCTCCTCCGTTGGTAGAGTAAAAGACAGGCCCATACCTGGCGCCGTACTTTGAATGATACTGATACCGACACCTGAGTCGAGCCCGGAATCGACCGCTGTGTGCAGGAAGAGAGAAATTTGATGTGCAGCTCGTGGGGTATTACTGAGTTCGGGCATGTTTGAAAATGAAAGATATATGAAAAAGCCTTAGGCGGTTTTGTAAAGTAGCCTTGTGGGTGAGATGCAAAGATGCTCATGGATATGAGGCTCGAGGAGCAATGTGGATGATGTGTCATTGGCTTTTTTCGATCATTAGAGAACGTGGAAGGCACGAAGCAGAGGGCTATGGGTCATGCGATTTCAGTCTCGCTTGCAGTTTATGGTTAATGGGTAGTCACCTAGGAGCATTAACACCGAAAAAAACTATCAAAGTCTGGGCAGGGTCGTTGAAAAGCTGTTTTATCGACTATTTGAGGTGGATACTATTGGTATAAATTAACACATGGTTGCATGAGACTGTACCAACAAGACCCTTATCTCCCGCAGTGCCCTCCATGGAATAGCTGTTAAACAACTAGGTACCTACTTTGGTCGTATATAATAGATTGCTAGAAGTTCATGTTTTATATTATCGAATATATAAACATGTTAGGGACATAGGCTAGTGCTGATGCTTCAGGGGTGCTCACTAAATACCATCTTTACATCTTTTCGCACGCTGTGTACATAGAAGTGTTAGTAGCTTAGAGAGCTAAGTAAAGAATGTGAGCAACATAATGTAATCTGTTGGCGCGTAGTTCTTAGTATGTAAAGGTGTAAGCGCAGAGTCACTTCTGGTAGGCACATCAAACGAAAATACCACTCAGTGTTTACTCTCTCTCTGTGCGGCGTGCGAAGGGGAGGGGGGTAGAGGGTTCAAGTTCTGTTTGTGCAGCAGTGCAAAGCTAAGTTGAGGATGTCGATTGTGGCACGTGAGCAACCCCGAACCATCAGGCCTAGCCCATGTCCCTAATGCGTTCATTCATCCGATAATTCGAGACGTTTATTTTTAAGTGTCTGGCACATACGGCCATAGATTCGAGATACTAGCGCTTCCCGTTCGCTCAGCGGTACTCAAGCTCGAAATCGGCGGACTAGTAGTCAGGTGGGTGACCACTGGCGAATCCCCGCTGTCGTATGTTTTTGCGATTCTCTTTTGCTCGCTGGTTGTTCAGTATGTCACGTGGGTCTGGCTTAGTATCCAAGTGCAGCACTGCAATCATTTTTGTTCGCGTGTTTCTCAAAACAATTGCATATTCTCGAAAGACTAGTTTTGATATATTCCAATTTTTATTTTCAAAAGCTACGTCGACGCGCTATGACATGTATCACCAAATTTGGTAGGGCTGAATGGCGACGGTCTTGGCAACCAAACCCAGCCAACGGGTTGATCTGCTCTTCGCGACGGTCGCCTCCCAACCCCACGCACAGCTCCATACAACATAGCAATGTCAGATAACGAGCGACCACGCGACCGCTTCCGCGAGCGAGACAGCCGTCGCGAACCACGCGAAGGCCGTGAGCGAGGCAGTACACCCACAGAACGGCGCAACCGCTCGCGCAGTCCCAGAGACCGCGGCAGCCGACGCGACACTCGATACCGTTCACGATCACCATACCGCAAAGATGAGCGCGATGGAGCTGGAAGGGGCGGAGACCGAGTCAGGTCTGGGGCTGGTCATGATCGTGGACGAGGGCGCGACGACAGGAGAGGAGGCAGGGACGACCGCTCCAGCTTCCGTGACCGCTCACCACAGCCACCAAAAGGGCCACGCGGTAGTGCTCGCGGTCCATTTGGCGGATCTGCAAAGCCTCCAACTGGTCCCCGCTCCTCGGCCGACGCCGTCAAGGAAGAGACACCCGATGTCGAGATGAAGGACGAGAGGCAGAAACCAGATGACATGGATGACGACGAATGGGAGATGCTAAAGGTCATGGGCTTTGGGGGATTCAAGAGCACGAAGAATACCAAAGTGCCAGGAAACGACAAGAACTATGGAGTCAGAAAGGACAAGCAGCTCCAGGCCAGACAGTACATGAACCGCCAGGGTGGATTCAACAGGCCGCTATCCCCGAGCAGGTCATAATGAGATGGGTGAAGATGTGCTGCAAGGTCTCACATCAATGGCTAGGATCACGACAATACTTTTAAAGACTTGAGTTTGATGCATGGCCAGCGTGGTATCATGCTGTCATGGCCGTCTTTTGGGGATGCTCGGCACAAGGCAAAAGCATACCCACGGGGGATATGGCCATGAAATGCCACGACAAGCCGTTGGGTTGCGTGCATTCAGTAGAGGAGCAGCTCACGGTATGACGCCTTCATATTTTACCACATTTGGTTCTCTTTGAGTCTGACCAGAACAGAAGGAACGTGTGTCAACACAAAACTTGTTACTGTGAGCAGGCTGGAAAAGTGTAATCGCATTCGTCTTATCAGGCGAATGCTGCTCTTAGAATGCAAAATCAACTACTCTTACTGATAACTAGATGAAACCCTCTGCTTGCTCCGTGAAGCGTACCGGGAGATAGGATACAAGGCTACAACAGGCACCAATTCTAGTTAGGACCTATTCGACCGAAAGTCATGCTTAGTTTACTATTGCGCCGTCAAGTCCGAGGAAGTGCGTATGCTTCGCACAACATGTGGAGAGGGAGCACTTGCAGCTGTCCAATCAGGAGCGATTGCGGCCGCGGCCGTGGCTGTCTGGGCGAGATGTGTCCCAAACCCCGCAAGCTTCGAGGTCCGGAGCTCCAGCTTCACACATCACAATGACGCGCGACAGCAGACATGGTACCCTCTGGAAGGGGCTGGCATGTCTTTTTGCACTCCAATTGCCCCTCGTGGGCGCGCAGCTGGCAGAGGTAGAGAAGGCTACCAATGCCAGCTTGCTCTGGGGGCCCTATCGTCCAAACTTGTACTTTGGCGTCAGGCCACGCATTCCTAAGAGCTTAATGGGCGGGTTAATGTGGACCCGAGTGGAGGACTATCAAAGTGTGCAGAATAGTAAGTACTACTGGTAGCTGTGTGAATGGATGGGAACAAGACAGGAAGCATCTAGTCATCTTCACATGGTTAGCCCCAACAAGGCCAATTGCTGACTCGATAGATTTCCGACACACCTGCGAGCAGCATGAGCTAGACGGCTACGGCTGGGATGAGTATGATGTGCGTAGCGGCGGCCGACAAACAATCCACGATCCTGCGAACAAAATCGACATCACCACCGAGTTTATCAAGTTCCCAGGTGGAGAACACGGCGGCAGCTGGGGCGCAAGGATCAAGGGAACGCCGCGAGAAGACGCCAGCCCGAATCTACGTACAACGGTCATCTGGTACAACACGCTCGAAGGTTTGGGTAGTCTGGAAGTCGCAGATGCTGACACGGAAGAGCCGGGTGTCAAAGGTGATGTTGTCTTGAAAGGGCAGACGACTGAGCTTGGTGACTTTGAAGTCAGGGTCACGGAAGGCAAAGGCGAGCACCCCGTCACTGGCCATCCGAGCTGGGACGATAAGCCTTTGGACAGGACACTGGTCCATAGCGGACAAATACCCGATGAGGCGCTATGGCAGGTCAAGGCTATTCTGTTCGCACACATGAAGGGTCAGATTGATGTCTTGATCCCAAAGTACGACGAGCAAAACCCCCCACCCCCTGCTCAGGTTTACACCATCCAGCATTTGCCTGGCCAAGGAAATATGCACATTGTCCAAAAGGTCTTTGAGGGGCCATTCGAGTTCGATGTCATCTTCTCATCCGGGTCTGCTCCTGAAAAGGTTACCTCGCAAGACATTACCCAGCAGATTGACTCGGTCACTTCAAGCTTCTCATCTCGCTTCACCAAAATCTTCGAACCACAAGCTCCTTTCCTCAAAGAGCGCTACGAGGAGTTTTCAAAGTCGCTATTCTCGAACCTGATCGGCGGTATCGGCTACTTCTTTGGAGACTCTCGTGTCGACCGCTCCTACGACCCTGCTTACGAAGAGGACAGTGAAGGGTTTTGGGAGGAGGCTGCCGAGGCACGAAGCAGGAACGTAGCCCAGCTCGAGGGGCCTTCGGAGCTTTTTACTGCAATTCCATCTCGGCCATTCTTTCCACGTGGCTTCCTTTGGGACGAAGGTTTTCATCTGTTACCCGTCATTGACTGGGATGCTGACCTCACTCTTGACATTATCAAAAGTTGGTTCAAGCTAATGGATGAAGATGGTTGGATCGCCCGTGAGCAGATTCTCGGTCCCGAAGCCCGCAGCAAGGTGCCTGAAGAGTTCCAAGTACAATACCCTCACTACGCGAACCCACCAACGCTCTTCATGGTTATCACTTCCTTCCTCGATCAGCTCGATGCGATAAAGACGGACACTAGCAGCGAAAAGCTTCGTCAAGAAAAGTCCTACTCAATGCAACTGTCGAACCGCGAGGCAGCACTCGAATATCTCCGCACTCTCTACCCACTGTTGAAGCGCAACTATTTCTGGTACCGCAAGACACAGGCTGGTGATATCAAGAGTTATGAACGTCAGGCCTTTTCTTCGAAAGAGGGCTACCGCTGGCGTGGACGTACCCCAACGCACATCCTTACCTCTGGCCTTGATGACTACCCGCGCGTTCAGCCACCGCACCTTGGGGAGCTCCATGTCGATCTCATCAGCTGGATGGGTATGATGACGCGTGCAATTAAGCGCATCGCAATCTACCTCAACGAAGAAGACGACGCAACCGAGTTTGCTCGCTACGACGAAGCCATCACCCGAAACATCGACGACTTGCACTGGTCCGAAAAAGACCAAACATATTGCGACGCCACTATCGATGACTATGAAGAGAACGCGCTGGTCTGCCACAAGGGATACATTTCTCTATTTCCTTTCATAACAGGCCTGATAGACAAGGACAGCAAGAAGCTCGGTGCAGTCCTTGACCTAATTGAGGATGAGGAAGAGCTCTGGAGTCCCTACGGAATCCGCAGTCTGAGCAAGAGCGACGAATTCTACCATACTGCCGAAGATTACTGGAGAGGACCAGTCTGGATGCCAATCAACTACCTAGCCGTAACCCAACTTCTTGTAAGTCTCATCTTGTCAAAGAACCTCCCATCTTGTTCCTTTTTACTGACCTTTCTGCTAATAGAAACTCGCACAATCCCCGGGCCCTTACCGTGCACGCGCCACGAAAATTTACACGGAGCTTCGCAAGAACCTGGTCAAGACGGTGTATGAGAGCTGGAAGGAGACGGGGTTCGCGTGGGAGCAATATAATCCTGAGACTGGAAAGGGGCAGCGGACGCAGCATTTTACGGGGTGGACGAGCTTGGTGGTGAAGATTATGGCGATGCCGGATTTGAGTGGCGAGGAGGTGAAGGAGAAGGATGAGTTGTAGATGGTTGAGAGTGGGGTGGGCTGGATGGGGTGGGGGGGAGACAATATGGAGTGGTAGGTGAGATGTGAGGTGGAAGAGTAGATACAATGGAAGATTAAGAGAATGACTGGTAGACGTACCATCAATCTATGTTGTCAATGAGAGAAAGGTTGAATCCCCTAGATGTGATGACTGGTCCAATGTGTAGTCTCGTTAAATGAGCCTTTTTTTTCTTTCCTTTCTTTTTTTTGACCCGTATGTTAAATGGACGAGGATTCACGAGGTATTTTCACTTTATGTTAAAAAAAAAGATACTTCATATTTTCCAAAGAAATCGTTTTTAAGAAAAAAAAGATAATACTGTGCTAATTTATCATTGACAAGAAACGAACACGTACAAGTTTTCTTGTTCTTATTCAGTTATGTTTCTATATATATAAATTATTTACTATATACTTTTGATTTTTTGTCGAAGTATTGTTTTATTTAATAGCTTCCACTGCATTCACATTAATGTTCATTTTTTTAAAAAGTAGCTATAAAGCGTAACTGCCGAATCTACTACTGATATCCTTTTCATCCAAGTGAACAAACGAAACAGCGAGTCTTTCCAACAGGAGTAGTCATATAGGTGGCATTTTGACTTTTTTCTTTTTCTTTTTTTCAAATCCTCTGGATATTTTGGAATATAAGAGGGTTGAGTGCGGTGTTCACAGGATCGAAGTCGTCCGGGCTCATACTTGAAAGAGTGTAAAAATAAAATAAAACAAGACATGATAGGATCAGTAGTAATGTGATATCTTTTTGTGTATATTCATGATGCGTAATATGGGGTATATGTATATATGTGTTGAAATTTAGTTACTTACATAATAGGTACTAACAGGATTTTTTAATGTACTACATGATGTTCTAATGACTCAAGAAAAATTAATTTGAGTTTTTGTTTATTTCGTTAATCGCGATGCAGAATTCTCTCTTGATTTGGGCAGAATATACGTGCAAGTATTAATTTACTAGGTATTCAAGGTAAATAGTGGTCTTAATTGGGGAGTGATGCCAGTTGTTGAGGAGCGGGAGGAAACGGTGAAAGCAGCTGTACAGCGAACGAATAGCGACTTCGAATTCTAAGAGTGTGCAATAGATAGTATCATACAAGTGCTTCTATAACGTATAGGGAAATAGTTGTGAAATGTAAAGTTTATTGTATTTTCAATTTCGATTTATAATAGGAGTATGTATGTCTTGTGTAAGATATGTGAAATGATTTGGTCATTCGCGAAATCCATATTGCTTCTCGAAAATAATTACAGAATAGAATGTGTAATTTCTCACTGGATATTCTGTTGTTCCTGACATGTCAAACTGTAATGTCACTGCAAGCCACCAAGCACGCAATGGATGTCACTCATTTTCGCGACCCTTCACTCCCCTTCACTCCTCTCATCTACACAATATTTATGCTCAAATTCTAAATACGTACAAAGACGACTCAGAAAAACCCTAAACAAAAACCCAAGTCATGGTACACGAAACCTTCGGAGATGACACAGAAAGTGTAAACCTACCACACGGCATTTGGTCCTAGATTGTTACACTAAAATTACGTCAACCTTGTTGTTTGGCACAGGAGAACCCTATCACGCGTGGGAAACCCCCCTTTTTTCCCTTTACTCGTTTTACTCGCCAGCGGGAGTTGCAAAACAAACAAAGAAAAAAAAGGGGATCATCGAACAGAGTTGAGAGTGAAATTACGATGAGCAATGTGCTAGCCGAAGAACGTAGCTTACTAATGCGCCACACACACGGGACTTTGAGCGAGGAAAAAAACCAATAAAGCCAAGTCTGGCTAACTTTTGTTTATACGAAGATAAAGGGAGAATTAAAAGGAGTGCAAAAGTAAATGGCAAATGATATCTTTTCATGTTGAACATTAGGCCAAGTGCTGCAAAAAGGAAGCAATTACGAGCCAAGAGGTTGCACAGACGAGTGTAATGGGAGGCTGTGGTGGCACACGGTTGCTCCGCCCAGGCGCCTGTCCGCACAGAGCCATACTTGGCAGCGGAGGGACGACGATTGAGTGGTGACCGTGTACGCGGAGAAGAGTGCACGTGTGTCTCTCCAGATTCCTTGGCTAAAAAAAGTTTTCCTTACTTGCTTTCAGTGTCTGGATGCAATGCCGAGTACTCTACTCGGTAAAAGCATGGAGAAATGGAAGAATGCCGTCGGAAGCGGGGTCTAGATGCAAGTGATTGCGTGATTATATCCCATGGTCAAAAGGCGGACGGATATATGGCAAAAAGGCAGTCATCATGGCAAGATCGGATGTCTATGTGGGGGTGGATGACAGGTCAAAATCTGGGGAGTTGAGTGCTCGGATGAACCCGCGATGGTTGCCAAGAACAATATGGTGCAACCTCTGAAAATGCCGCACTAAAGTGTCAGCGGCTTGGACAGGCTGGGCACACTTTGTACAGAGTAGGAATGTATTTGGCGATAGTAGCGGATGATGGTAAGCCGGACGCGGAGCATGGTGCCCGGGCGGAGATGCGATGAGCATAGCGGACGGTGTTGGGTTGTGCGGAGAATGGGAGAGCCAGCGCCAAGGGCGATCTACCAGATCCGGCGCTGATACAAACAATTGATCTGCTGCTTGGCAGGTATCAGAGCAATCATTCACAGGTGCGACCATGATAGATGATTTGAGTGGCTATACTCTGACGGGAGCAATGTGGTTGGATATGTCGCACTATGGTTATGCAAAGTTTTCTACCACGCCCAGGTGGTGGTAGCAGGGTTTCCTAGTATGTATAGCTAGGCGTGAGTAATTGCGCATGCTCCGATATCAATGCTCCTCACAGGTCAAGGTAGACTTGATTGGTGGGGGGGGGGGCTTTGGTATACATATGTTCAACGTAGGTGGACAGTGTTGAATTTGTCATTGAACTTGACAAGAGTGCATTTGGTTGAGTAGACGTCCGGTGTATGCAATCGAGACCAGGCCGCAAAAAGACATGAGTGAGGCGGGCTGGTGGAGCCCACCGTCCCTGCATGCGTCGGATGCAAGGGTTCGCGTGCCGTGAGCAGTTGGCGCGGCAGACATGGTTTGGAAAAAAAAAGCCATTGTTTAGTTGGGAGCAGGGACAGAGTTCGGAGGCTGGGAACGAAACAATGGCAGCCGCACATGAGCCTCAGGTAGATCAGCCGTGAAGGTCGGGAGTGCCTCACCGGAAGCGTGTCACGAGGCTGGAGAGCTAACTAAAAGATGGAGTGGTGAAAGTTTCCCGAACATGTGTCGGTGTTTGAAACGCGGCGTACAACAATTGGCTTGGCGTGTGGGTGCCGCAACGCCCATGCTGCAGGTACGAAGGTATCGCGAAAAGACGTTGACGGTGGTGATCAGCGCAAGCGACGGGGCCGTCTGTCTCAGGACGAAGCACAGAGGGTCGTGGCCGTTATAGCACATGGATAGTGACAGATGGGCAGACGACGATACTCGAGAAACCTTGTAGCAATAGCATGTACAAACAATACAGTAGACGAGATAGCACACGGCGTAAGGGTGCGTGCGACGAGCGCGGACCGACACCGGTGGGTGGGGCGCGTTGGTGGGAGCGATTCAGAGGGCCCGTCGAGGGCGGCGAGGGTTGGCGTCGGTAAAAACGATGAGTGATGGGATGGCATGGGATGGGGTGGCAGGCGGAGGATGGCATGCAGTACGTGTTCGCACTCGTACACATGTGGGTTAGAGGCATTATTCCCGCACGGCGGTGAGGCTCACTCACTCGCGTGCCGGCGAAGCATCGGCAGTGGGAGTGGTGGCAGGAAGGCGCGTCACGTGCATGGCCGTGGCGGCTGCCGTGTTGGGAAGGCCATCCACGGTCTGGAAACCGGGGCAGACTGGCAGGCTCCCCAGGCCCTCGAGGCCCTCGCAGGCATGACACTTAGCATTGGTATTGGCATTGGCGCAAAGGCGCGCGCACGACACAGAGCGAGAACGGCCAGGCCAGGCTCTTTTGCAAGCCAAGGCCCTGTGCGACGGAACCGTGTTTCAATTTCTCCACGGCACACGCTGGGCGTGTAGTGGAGCGAGTGCGGTTGGTAGTATTAGTCTGTCTGGCCATGATAACACAACTGCTAACGGCCACGACCGGGGGTGGTCAGGGTTGGCCGGGCGACGGCGTGACAGCAAGTGTGATTCGGCCGACATGGCTGGCCGTCTCAGCAGCGGTAGGGCTCGTTGAGACAGGGCCGATGCCCGAAGCAGGCCGTGGGGCGTGCTGGATCATGGAGAGGGAGGGGGGAAGTCGGATATTGAGGCTCCATGGTGCTTGGTGGTACGTGGGGCTGGAAGGCCGCTAGAAGAAAATTGTGAATGCAGCCAAAAGTCGCGCAGGCGTGGGGAGGGCTCGGGGGACCACAGCCAAGGGCCAAAGAAAAAATGCCTCGCAGCATGGAGCGGAGGCGAGGGGCGAGCCAAGGCGACAAGCATTGTTTACAGAGCGAGAAGAAGCTTGGTGCTGCTGCGAGTGCCAGTCAGTGGCGGCGAGTGGAGGAGGGAGTGGAGGGAGTGGTGCAGTGGTGCAGTGGTGCAGTGGTGCTACTCGATGCTACTCGATCCTGGCCGGGCGTGGGTTGCAGTTGGCCAAACGTCATGGGGGCGCATCCCTGCCGCGCCTGCACGCTTGTCGCGGAATGTCGCGCTATCTCCAGCTTAATCTCAGCAGCCGGCGACGGAGACGCGTTGGAGGAAACGAGACGATGCCGGGTTAGGGAGCAGCAGACGATGCAGACACAGACACGGGCAGGCAATAGTACACACTACAGGGCATGGTACAGACAAGGGCAATGGGGGTGGCTGGGCGGATGGTTTTGCTTGGAGTAGTGGCTTGTAGCAAGTATTGGTGGTGGAGGGAGTAGTGGCAGACAGGAGGAGGCAGGAGCGATGGTGTATGTAGCAGCAGTTCTTAGCAGGAAGTAGCAACCGGCAGCAGCAGCACCAGTGGTAGCAGTAGCAAGTGAAGGTGCTTGCCAATTGCTTCCTTCTCCCGAGGCGGAACAGACCGGCCGTCCGTGGCAAAGATTAAGAGAGAAGAGAAAAAAAGACACACACAGATGATGCAGTGTCATGCTGGAAGGGAGTGGGATGATTGCAGACATGGTAATCTGCCCTCACCTCGCTCACTCATCCCATTCCTTCACCATCACTCACATGCACCCACTCCCACTCGCAGCAGCCGGCCATGACGACGAGGCAAAAGCAGTCGGATAATCGCTTGTCAGCAGCGCGCGACGGCCACCCACCCTCGGCCGGTGACTGCTGCACCGCCAAAACGGCCAATCTCTGCTGTTTGCGGCGCGCCGATGATGTAGCGTGCAGTGCACGGACCCGGGGTGCTGCAAAAATGCCCCCGGGCTGGTCGGCTCGAGCTATTCCCCAACCATGGCTAGTTTTATGACAATCATAAATCCCTCATAGCGGCCAAAGGTCGGTCCTTGCTGAGTTTTTCCCTGGTTGATACGTGGGTGAGCTTCCAGCGCGCTACTTAACCAGAGCCGCGCCCGCCCTCTGAACACTTCTTCACAGAGAAGGCCCTGCTTGCGGTTCCCCTTTGCCCAGCACTTTCGACCTGACCTCAACCCCATCCCAGTCAAGTCGCCCGGAAAGCCTTCTCTGTGCCCAGAGTTACCGGATATAATAATACATACGAGCAACACCCAATCCCTAATTCGACTCCGACATGGCGCCCAACGACGATGTTGAGCGCCCGCGGGCCAGCTCTGGCGCTGAGCGCCAGAAGTCCATCGTCTCCATGACCGAATTCGACGGCATGGACGAATATACAGCCCTCCAGAAGTACATCCTCTTCTACCGCGACGCAAAGGTCAACCCCCACGCCACGCCCACCGTCAAGGTCAAGAAGTGGTGGCAGTTCTGGAAGTCTGGTGCTACCACCGCTGCCCCCGTCGCCGACGCTGGCGCTGTTCCTGATGATTGTAAGTCTTCCATCACCACCACCACTACCACTATCCCCATTCTCCCTCTACTCTACTTCCCCACGTCCCTCCCCCCCAATTGCCCGCCTCGCGACCGCGATCGCACATCCTCCACATCTACACCCGCGCACACACCACACGCGTGCCACCTGCCTATTATGAGCACTTGGCAATACCCATTCGCCTTTTTGCTGTCGTTGAGCAGCAGAGGCCGCAATGTGGTCGCTGGCGTTGCGTCATGGCCCGAGCTCAAGCTTGAGCTTCCTGCCCTGCTAGCTCAGCCCGTGGCGGCAAAGTGCAGTGGAGAATCCATGCACGCCGACTCCACCAAACTATCCGCTACTGTCCTCACCAGCCGCGCCCTGCAAAACACGCGCAAAAAAAGACAACTCTTGCTAACACTGCCTCACAGTCCTCAACACTGAGCTTCGCACCGGTCTTTCCTCGCACGAGGTCGAGGAGCGCCGCAAGCGCTATGGCTTCAACGAAATCACCAGCGAGAAGACCAACCTTCTCAAGCAGTTCATTGGTTACTTCACCGGTCCTATTCTCTACGGTAAGTACCCGCCGCATCCTTGCGCAAACCTTGTTTTAGCGCAACTACTAACGCTCAGCCAGTCATGGAGCTCGCTGCTCTTCTCGCCGCTGGTCTTCAGGACTGGATTGATTTCGGTGTCATTTGCGGTATCCTGTTGCTCAACGCCATTGTCGGTTGGTACCAGGAGAAGCAGGCTGCTGATGTCGTCGCATCGCTCAAGGGTGACATTGCCATGAAGGCAACTGTCGTTCGTGACAACCAACAACAAACCATCCTCGCCCGTGAACTCGTCCCCGGTGACATTGTTGTCGTTGAGGAGGGTCAGACCGTCCCTGGTGATGCCCGTCTTATCTGCAGCTACGACCACCCTGAAGACTTCGAATTGTACATGAAGCTCAAGGCTGAAGACAAGTTCCACGACGCTGACCCCGAAGACGAGAAGGACGATGATGTCGATGAGGAGAAGTTCGACGAGGAGAACCCCATTACCCAGGGCCACCCTCTCGTTGCCTGCGATCAATCGTCCATCACCGGAGAGTCTCTCGCTGTCGACAAGTACATGGGAGAGGTTGCCTACTACACCACTGGTTGCAAGCGCGGCAAGGCCTACGGTATTGTCATCACCACTGCTAAGCATTCTTTCGTCGGTCGCACTGCTACCCTTGTTCAGGGCGCTCAGGACCAGGGTCACTTCAAGGCTATCATGAACTCCATCGGAACGGCGCTTCTCGTCCTCGTCATGTTCTTCATCCTGCTTGCCTGGATTGGTGGTTTCTTCCGTCACATTCCTATTGCCACTGCCCGCGAGGGAACCGACAAGTCCGTCACTCTCCTCCACTACGCCCTCATCATGTTCATCGTTGGTGTCCCCGTCGGTCTGCCCGTCGTCACCACCACCACCCTCGCCGTCGGTGCTGCCTACCTTGCTGAGCAGAAGGCTATCGTCCAGAAGCTCACTGCCATCGAGTCGCTTGCTGGTGTCGATGTTCTCTGCTCTGACAAGACTGGTACTCTTACTGCTAACCAGCTTTCGCTCCGTGAGCCCTACGTCGCCGAGGGTCAGGATGTCAACTGGATGATGGCCGTCGCTGCTCTTGCCTCTTCCCACAACCTCAAGTCTCTCGACCCCATTGACAAGGTTACCATTCTTACCATCCGCCGCTACCCCAAGGCTCGTGAGATCCTCAACATGGGATGGCGCACTGAGAAGTTCACTCCTTTCGACCCCGTCTCCAAGCGTATCACTGCCGTCTGCCACATGGGTGGTGACAAGTACGTCTGCGCCAAGGGTGCTCCCAAGGCCATTGTCAACCTCGCCAACTGCGATGAGATCACCGCTACCCTCTACAAGGAGAAGGCCGCCGAGTTCGCTCGCCGTGGTTTCCGCTCTCTCGGTGTCGCTTACCAGAAGAACGACGGTGACTGGATCCTTCTCGGTCTCATGTCCATGTTCGACCCCCCTCGTGAGGATACCGCCCAGACCATCGTTGAGGCTCAGCAGCTCGGTGTTCCCGTCAAGATGTTGACTGGTGACGCTATTGCCATCGCCAAGGAGACCTGCAAGATGCTTGCTCTCGGTACCAAGGTTTACAACTCTTCCAAGCTCATCAACGGCGGTCTTACTGGTACCACCCAGCACGACCTTGTCGAGCGTGCCGACGGTTTCGCTGAGGTTTTCCCCGAGCACAAGTACCAGGTCGTCGAAATGCTCCAGCAGCGTGGTCACTTGACTGCCATGACTGGTGACGGTGTCAACGATGCTCCTTCTCTTAAGAAGTCTGACTGTGGTATTGCCGTCGAGGGTTCTACCGAAGCTGCTCAGGCCGCTGCCGATATCGTCTTCCTTGCCCCTGGTCTCTCCACCATTGTCCTTGCCATCAAGACTGCCCGCCAGATTTTCCAGCGTATGAAGGCCTACATTCAGTACCGTATTGCTCTCTGTCTCCACTTGGAAGTCTACCTCGTCACCTCCATGATCATCCTCAACGAGACTATCCGCGCTGAACTTATTGTCTTCCTTGCCCTCTTCGCTGATTTGGCTACCGTCGCCGTTGCTTACGACAACGCCCACTCTGAGCAACGCCCCGTCGAGTGGCAGCTGCCCAAGATCTGGTTCATCTCCGTCATCCTCGGTCTCCTCCTCGCTCTCGCCACCTGGATCGTCCGTGGTACCCTCTTCATCCCCAGCGGTGGTATCATCCAGAACTTTGGTGCTATCCAGCCCATTCTGTTCCTCGAGGTTGCCCTTACTGAGAACTGGCTCATCTTCGTCACTCGTGGCGGCAAGACTTTCCCCTCATTCCAGCTGGTTATTGCCATCTTGGGTGTCGATGCTCTCGCTACCATCTTCACTCTCTTCGGCTGGATGTCCGGTGCTCCCTACGAGACCAACCCCCCTACTATCAACTCCCGCTTCCGTGATGACGGATGGGTCGACATCGTCACCGTTGTCGTCATCTGGGCTTACTCTATTGGTGTTACGATCATCATCGCCATTGTTTACTACATGCTTAACCGCATTGAGTGGCTCGACACTCTCGGCCGCAAGGACCGTAGCCGCAAGAACCCTGCCATTGAGAACATGATTGCTGCTCTCAGCAAGCTGTCTCTCGAGCACGGAACCGACAAGCACGGAACCACCCGTTATGTCCTTGCTCCCCGCGCTGTTGAGGAGGAGGATGACGACTAGATATGAGTCGATGTGTATTTGGATATTTGCTAGGGTCCGATGAGCCCGCCTTCATGGAAAGGTTAATTTCTCATCACTGTACTTGCTAGTCTTCTCACGTATACCAAGAAGCATAATTTCATTGTCTGAATTTAATCCTAAATGTCCCATCGTGCTGTGCCATTTGTGACTCAATTCGCCTGCAATCTGCCATGTCTACAAATGTCTACTATCCTTTTTGCCTTTGGCACCACTATATCTTGCAATGTACAATTCTTGCATATGCAATCTAGGTGAGAATCGTCTTTTTGAGCCTAGATTTGCCAAATGACCCTAGTTTCGCATAGAGCATATCAGGGTCGTCAAACTTTTCACTTAGCACTTGGCATTTCGGCAGGATTCCCGGATGAGTTACCCTGAAGTAGTCTGGAAGTCCAGCCATAGAGTAGACTACAGTTGGCACCAAGGAATGCAAAGCCAAGCACAAATGGCCACGCGGAACATACGATTCAATGACATATCGATGCAGCGCATACGACATACGGGTAGGGTGTAGATTTTCGTATTCGCGACGCGGGGTATTCAACAAGCTGCTGCAAGCCACGGCGACGGAGTTGACCAATTATGTGTGGGCGCAAACCCGGCTTCTGCATGGTCTGGAGTTGAACAGCAGCTTACCCGC